GTTTTGCCCTTGCAAATTCCTGTAACAGGACAAAATTAGATATTGGTGTTTTAATATGTGGCATGTCCTAAAATTAGGCTGATGTGGTAGTATGTTCTCATTCATCTTTGTCAACGTGTCTGTTCATCTATATGACTGTTACAAAGATAGTAGTTTATTTCATCATGTATTATCCAGTTGTTTAATCCATCTCTGCTATAGTGTAAGAAAAATAATGTAGGTGTGGACATTCTCCGTCGGTCGCGAAGGAGAGCGCGTCCGGATAATGTTCACCTTTGTTATGTGCACCGTCGCAGTTCTGTGGGGGGCGCTGCGACATGGGGGCTTAAGAAACCAAGCAGAATGAGGTGAACGTGCATTTTTTTTCACCTCGTAGTATTTTATTTTTTAACTGGGCATGCTAGCAGCTAGCTAGAAACGCATACTGCATTTTTTGCGACCGAAAGATGCCCTATGTGGCAAACGTCTCAATTGGCTGCACGGTGTCAGAAAAAAAAAAAAATTATACTTCTAATGCTGTCAGAAAGACGAGGACAAGCGCTTGTCTGTCTTTCTGTTTGCGTCTAAGTAGTGCGCTCTCATTTCAAAACAATCAATATCACCAACTCACCCTGTTAAGCATATTGACAAATTATGTCTAATGCTGAGTTCTCATGGTGCAACGCCATTACGGACGCTGCGCACACAGCTCGTCTTCTGTAGTACATGCACCGGCCGCAGTTGTGCGGGTGGTGCTGCGACGTGGGGGCCGAGAGGACGACGTAGGCGAACGTTATGTGGACGTGCCGTCGGGCAGAGTGTCCATACCTAAATTATTTTTCTTACACCGTGGTCTACGCTTTCTAGTATGCCTCAATCACGTCATGCCTAATCCTGAAATGATTTCTAGATTGAATGAAACACAAGCTCTTGGCAACATACGTTATGTTTTTCGTGGTGACTGGTCACTTCAATTGTATTAAGTGAATGCACCAAGCTGTAAAAGCGTTCTTAAAGTGCTTTTTTTTTTTTTGTGGCTCCTTTTAAATATCAAGCATGTAATTCATATTAAAAAACTCCCAAGCATTTCCCCGAGGGTGAACATGGTTAAGTGCGAATACACGGGGTGATGCTATGAGGGGTATTTATTAATTCGCACTATTATATTTATTTATCACACTATGGTGCCTTTATGGTGTAATGGTTCCTGGGAATCGCAATTTGATCACACGGGGGAGTTTACGTTAACTCACTGGCGAATGCCAACGGATTTTAACTTTACTCCCCCTCACGAACCGCTCTCGATGGGAGACTGAGAGAGAAGGCGGGCGCCCGAGAGAGAGGGGTGCGCGCGCAGCTGCAGCGAGCGAGGAGAGCGGAGGAGCGAGCGAAGGGGGAGGGGGTATAAGGCGCGTTACTGACACCGATATCAGCGTCGCGTCCGTGGCTTATTGGCTTATCCGGTAGAGCGTCACGCTGCGGCCCGCCAAGTCCTCTTTCTTTTAAAGATAGAGAGAAGACTGCGGACGCCGCCGACGGCGGTGGATGGTTTGGGGTCGCTTATAAAGTGTATTCACACTTAAAAACATAAATGTGGATTAAACCCGTGTTATTCTTAGTTTGCCCATTTATTTGCAGCAATTCAATTAACAAGCTTGACTTACTAACTCATCTTCGCAGGCATATACGTCAATGTAAAATTTACAAAATGTTCAACTTGGGCACTGAGGACTTGTCGCACATCAAGTGCCATCGCCTTCGTAACGCAACGGTTACACTCACAGAAGTCTTGTCCGGGAAGTCGTTTCATGCAGTACACGGGGACAAGCGAGCAAGTAATACCCGCCAGGTGCGGGAAGAGAAGAACGACTTCATATTCCAAATGTCTAATGTCATTCGCTCACTGGCTTCCGCAGCGCTCGCGCTTACTAATGCCCTGTGCTAGAGACACGCCCTGGAGTGCCACAAACTGCGGCATGCAACTTTTGTTCTCCCCCCAAGACAGGGCCCTGATGCAATTCAGACAAGCAAGATAAGAAAAATAATAATAAAGAAGTATATAACGTATAGACCATTTTACGTCAGATGTGCCAGCTCTGCAACTCTGAGCTGTTAAAAGAATGCTTTGTTATTTTTGTGAATCACGATGCGAATTGAGTAGGTCATGAATCATAGAACACTGCAACCTAGCCTACACATATGACCGTTGCGTTTGTGTAGTTGTTCTATATATACAAAACAACAACGTGAACAGCCTACTATAGCAGCCCGGAAACTCATTCATAAAATAGCGTATAGTCACTGCTCGCATAACGTACAGCCTTGATGTAATCAAAATTTACACATCTCTTAGTGCTTCGCGTCACGTGTGACCTATGTATGCTTTAAAGGTGTTTTTTTGCTTTTTTTTTAAGTAGTATTACTTGAAATGTCTCTTGAATAATACAAAGTTATTTTCCATATGCTACCGTGGTTTTTCTTGAAATATCACTTCATCCATGCGCGGGCGCTAGACACGTCAAATGATGGCTGGCTGCTGTGACAAACAGCTTATAGGTGACATGCTTTGTGATTGGATAGCAGCCGTGTCGTACTCAAAGGATGCATTGGGTGCGCTTTTCTTAAGAGCATGTGTTCGTAGCCTTGTAATATCTACACAATGTCGCTACATCTCTTTTTTAATTTTTAGAATTTGGAATGCGTTGAAATACTGACGCAAGTCGTACTCATTGTGTCATTCTGAGACGGGGACAGAAGCTTGCATTGTTGCATTACATGATGGATAAGGACATCCAGATCGCTTCTTTTTTTTTCATTTATTTTGCTTAACTGGAAGCCTTTGCATAGCATGCTACCTCTGCATTTCTGCTATGCAGACTATGTCATTGCTCAGCCGTTTGTGCTTCCGTCATTTACGTAGTACACGTCGCCTAAAGTTTAAGTACACGTGGCTTAATTGTGCAGGTTATAACGCTGTAAACAGGTGCCTGTTTGATGGCCACTTTTTGCTATCAACATCGCCCACTGTCGCTTGCTATCAACCAGCGAGTAGCCTTTGCCAAGGTGGACAAGTGGCATGCGTAATTGCTTCGTGCTGCCAACTGGTACGTGGCGAGAACAAAGAACAGAAACTGTGGAACAACTACACTTCATGGTTGACTTGCATATTGTGATGCCAAGCTACATACTAGTTGTGAAATTTTTGTGGAATATGTTTTGGACATATTAAATATTTCATCTATCGAATTAACTACATATCTAATTCTTTTGTGATTCCCTTCAGATTCAACATATTGAAATTCGACTTTGCTTTGAGTGTATGGCATGCAATGTTTTGATCGTAAGCATTGACATCATACTGACCACTAAATGCAAATTTATGTCGCTTCATTTGACACTAAAGGGTTTGGATTTGTGGCACCTTCCAAAATGACCGTGTCAGACCTTTTGGCATGAGAGGTTGGAGCCTAATGCTGAATCAAATAACAAAATGCGGTGTGAACATGGCAGATGCGAGTAGTGAAAGTAATGTTTTGACTGTGTTGTTAAGCCTGTTGTGAATTAAAAAGTGTGTAGTTTTTGGAGAACACTGGTTAGTAATCTAAGAGATCTAGTTAAGTGATAATACAGTGATATAGTTTCTCTATCATAGCACAATGGCTGCATTTTTACATTCATGCCTACAGCTGTATCCATGCATCAGTTATGATGCAACATTTTAGCCAACTATGTAAAAAATAAAGGAGATTGGGTTTTTAGTTACATTTATACCTGTTAGACTTCTCCAGTTTTTTTCCTGTTAACACGTACTGGTGTGCCAGTTAAATAGTCATGAAAGCTTATAGCATTGCACATCAAAAAGGACGGTAAAGAAACATGAGAATAGATGAAAAGCGTAATCGCTTATGTCTTTTGTCTATTCTTAGGTTTCTGTTTGAGAGCAGGCAATTACGTAAGTTCAGTGCTTATGTTTTTTGTTCATTACGTGTCTGTGTCATCCTCAATGTTCCCCCCATGAGCTATGGTGACTCCATTGTGTTTGCATTATGTTCTAAAAAACTTTTGTTGACTTGTTATGTTTTTTTTATAACATACCTCATACTTATTTAAGCGGCCACGTCCTTCTGTGATCTCATTCAACCTTAATGGTAGTTGAAAAATGTGAATGTAAGAAAAACATTTACCCCACTTTATGTTACTCTAAATGGGGTTCACAGGTGGCCAGTTGGGCATGTTAATAAACGATCATTCTGATTCTCATTCGAATGTGAAGTTTCTATCCATAATTCTTTTAAGGTAAGAGTGGTATTAAAGCAGCTGCCCTATCTTTATATGAAGAACGTGGATGTAACATACGGTGGAAAATAGCGAGGAAAATCTAAATAGTTTTACACCGATATTGGTGCATTATGAATATGTTCTCATAGTGACTATTGCCTAAGGACAGTGTTTTAAGTGCAAAGCTCGTTAAGGCTTTTGTCTGCTGTCCTTTGCTGTCGTCTCTTGTAGCTTGGGGCGGGCTCGCACCAAGGCAATGTCATCCGCCTCATGTTCTACGAACGCCTTGATGGGGATGCTAAGTGCGAAGAACTTTGTAGGTCTGGGTTGTTATATGCTGCCATATGCTTTTTTTTGCTTGGCGTAATGTGGCCAAAATCACACTAAACAAGAAAAAAAGGAAGCTAGCGGGAAATAGAAAAAAAGAAAAAAGATACGTAGGAAAATAGGAGTAAATATAAATAAAGAGAAGGAAAAATAAAAACAAAAAAGTGAAAAAAAAAACAAGAAAGTGAAGCGGAAATGAAGAGAAAGCTGACAAGAAACAAAGAAAGCTGCCCAGCTTCGCACGTCCTTCATGCTTGGTGCCACAGCTGCGAAGTTGTTTTAATTTTTTTCTATTTGGCGCAAGTTCGTTCAAAGTTCTGCCACAGAGCAGATTAGGTTGCGTTTTATTCATGATTTGGATATGCTTCACACGGGATACTTTGAGTGGCGCTGATGAAGAACAAATTACGTTTCAGTGGCCCAGTCTAGGCTGCACGTCAAGTTAGACACCAACGTTGAATCGGTCAAACCCGGTTGCTTGACACTGGACGAAGATGGAGATCTCGAACTTTCAAGGGCCCGCACGAGTGCGCGAGTACTTCTAGGTGAGGTAGCTTTTCGTTTGCAGCGTTTCTTTCTTGTACAGTCTGAGAGTTGTAAGAGTTTCTACAGTGTCATTGATGGCACACAAGAGCAGGCTTGATGTGTAACTGAAAGGGACACTAATGGGAAATTATGAATCAGTATGTAGACTGATGAATTGTTCTTGGAGAACTCTACTGTCATTAATTTCACCATCATGCATTTGTTATTACAGGAACATCAAGCTAAAAGTTTCAGCAATGCTCTGACGTTTGTGTATTGCTTAGAACAATCATACATAGTTATTTGAACGATAACCAAGTACGAAGTACACCAATGGTAAACCAACAAAAAACAGGAGTCAAGAAGAAACGAAGCACAGAAAGAAGAAAACACAGATTGCGTATTGTTATCAAGGAACCGTATTAAACAATAAATATATGCAGACAAGTGGTTTAGGATGACTTTTGGAAACAGGAAGGACTGCGTGAAGAAAAACAGGTGATCACTGTACATGATAACTAGGTTAGAATAGATCAGTGCCTTCAATTAGTTTCATAAAGTTCTCTAATGTTGGCTGCTGTGTAGTGACTGGATTCAGTGTGTTCCATTCTCGAATTACGCGCGGGAAGAACGAATAGGAAAAAGTATTATTACTAAATGAGTATTCTTCGAGTTCCCATGCATGGCTTCGCCTCGTCGGTCTGGTATCTCGAAAGCTCAAGTGAAGATCTGGGTTTATGCGGAATGATCTGTGTAAAAGTAGATAAAGAAATTTGAGCCGGAAAACCTTTGCACGACTGTCAAGGGTGGCTAGACCAGCACAATGTAGTAGAGCAGTAGGTGAGTCGTTGCGCCCGTATCTGTTGAAGATAAAGCGCACTGCTTTCTGCTGGTATTGTACGTATGTTACTGTGTTGTGTATGTCGTGTTTCTAGTCTATCCCCGTTAATGTTGTTTTGCCGTCATGACTTCTCACCTAATGCCTCGCATAAAGCCTGTGAGGAAGCCTCTAATGATACTAGTCACATCGATATTTACGGACGTTACACCACTCACATCCAGCAACAGGCATGCATGATAATCTACCCTACAAAAAGTGTTCATGAGTGATTCATGCTGAAGCACGTGTAGCTACGTGTCTAAGTGTATGCACATCACACGTGTGCATTTCAGCACCCGTGTGGGTAACACGTGCCATGTTTTCCTGATGCACATGGGTGCAAGGTGGAGTTCGCATGACCTGTGGTAGGTGCACTCATTCGTACTATCAGTGAGGTAGTACATGACCACTGCAAGCCGGTGGCAACATGCTTAGTGTTTGCACGTGCTTCGCGACACTCGCTAGTGACACACGCCTGCCCTCGTGCCGCGTTTATTCAACCCACGGGCAAAGAGTGTAATTCGCACGCTTTGTCCCGGGCCAGCCGTTTGTACGATCGGTGAGGTAGCAGATTCGGATTGTAAGCCTTCTGGTGCCACGTTTGACAATGCGAAACGTGCACCTGTACCTTGACTCGCACTCTCTCTCGAATCGTGAAGCTGTCCACGGTCTTGCCTTTGGGTAGCAGCAGTGTGTGCTGCTTTCCAATTGAGAGGACTCTTCCTATTGTTAATGGATATAGCTATTCTTTTTTTCTCTTTGTCTTTAGATGCCTGGAGTGTGGGCACAGCTGTCTTGCTCTTTTTGTGCCAGCTGTTGTGATTCGAGACAGCAGGAAGGGACGTGCTTCGTCGAGTGCAGTGAACTTGTTTGTTTTTTTTATTAGTATTCTTGTTTCTTTCAGTGCTTAGAAATGCTAGACTCATTTCTTTTCAAGTTTTTATTTCATATTCAGTATAATATTCCTTGAAAGCTGAAGCATTACAGAGAGAAGTGGCGTTACAAAAGTATTTGAATATCAAAAACTACAACATATACATGGTATGACAAATTGCTGATGAATGTATCAGCATTTCCCAAAGTTGTACTGTAGTCTCGAAGGTAATAATGTCTGTTATGGAGGCAACGGAGGGTTGAAGCATGTTTCAGTCTTCATTTGTTTTCGTTTTTTCAAAAGAATGAAATTAATTTTTTTGTTCGTACAATGCTTACGAATGCTTGTCTTGAACGAATGATCTACATCTGGCGGCAAGCAAAATGACACGTAGATTTTGGTTAAGGCGATGCCCTTGATGGGAAAGATTAAGGCTCAAAATTTTGCACCAGAGTGAATGGTTGGGCATGTTAAGATTTCATTTCATTTGACTAGCATTAGCAGTACGAAATATTTTATAAAAATGATGTGGATGACATGATATTTAACAGCATAACACTGTGTTTTAAAAAATGGGTCCCACATGGATGATGAATTACTCCAGTCGGGATTGTACTCGTGTTTTATACAACAGCGGTTTAATAAGAGGGCACAAGAAAAAATTCCAATGACAGGCAATTAAGCATGATTACCATTACAGGTTGCATAATAAAATGGAATTCGCAAAGAAAGATCATAACAAATATATGTATTACCGTACCTGAGGTATTTATGAGAAATTGCTTCGTCGCTGAGAAAGTGTGTGCAAGGATTTTTGCTGGTAGTTGGACAGGGCACTCTTGTTAATTGACATTTCGTTAACCAGGGGTCGAGTGACAAGTATAGATGTTATGTCAGACTACTAGAAAGTCAAGCCAAGATAATCACACAGAATAGTTTTGAATTTCTTGATATATATTGGCATACGTTTAATTATACATAGCAGGAGAATAAAGAAAAGAAAAACAGTCAGGAGACCGAAGCGCAGAAACTTTTGTGTGCACAGAGTTTGGTTTGCATTAGAAATTCACCATATTTTTTATATTCTAACGTGCATTTTTTTGCGCCAAATATAGCACTATTTATTTGCGCATTACAATCGGACTCATAAGCAATATCGGCGTCAAGTTATTTTTCTCATTGTTTCTTGCGTAAAACCGCCTGCACATTACGGTCGGAATGTGCTGCAATCCTGCACATATGAGGAGATTTTTACAGCGAAGCTGTTATGAGATCGGAACTCGGGTCTCACGCAGCGCCGTAGCTGTCCGCCACCGCCAGTGTCCGCAACCACATTATGCAAAACTAGAAAAAAAAAAAAAACTTAGTACCAATGACACAGTGGAGCTCGAACCTGGGTCCACTGGGTGCCAGCCCAGTATTCTACCACTGAGCCACGCCAATGCTTGGGACTTGTTGGCAAACTTGCCTTAGGCTTGATGTTGGGAAAGCAGTTGCGTCAATACGACTTATAAAGCGTTTTAAAACAGCGAAAGAACAAGCAGTCGTTGCACAATGCGAATGGCGTAACAAGTGTGTCGTCCAATGCTCCAATCCATTACAAAAGCTTGTCTTTGTACAGGTATTAACTGTGGCACATACCCACTTCAGGCATAATTCCTCATCATTGTCAGCCACTGCATGTACAATTGGCACAAAATTCCTTGCAATGGTTTAGTGGATACAACGCTTCTCAGAAGAATGACAAAGAATATCATCGTGAATGCTGGTTTACTACCCAGAAATTTTTATTGTTGATGCCCTAGTGGGTACCCAGCAAGTGTGCTTGCAGCAGCTACCAAAAGAGTGTTTAGAAAAGGCCCTGAAAGGCCACTCTTCTAGCTTTCGCTGCGACTTTGCTGTGCTTCTGCGCAGGCCTGGTGTTTTTTTTTCTTCGAAAATCTGCCAAATTTAAAACTGAAAATCGCTTGAATGAGGTTCTACTGGTGCACACGTACTCTCAACTTTCCTCTAAAACAGTAATAGTAAACTTCTAATTATTATTAATCACTTATTGTTACTTCTTTAGAGGAAAGGTGAAAGTACGCATGCTCCAGTAGAGCCTTATTTAAGCGAGTTTTGGTTTTGCATTTGGCCCATTTCCGAAAAAATGTCCTTGCATGGCAATTAATATCCCTCGACTATGGATTACTCAATCTCCTTAATGACTGTTACATGCCGAACCCCGCAATTTTGTCTCAATTGTTCTATTTTTGTGTTGCATGGTGTGCTCGAAGCTGCCAGTTTTGACACAAACAACTTCGACCTCTTTAAAATGAGAGGTATCATGGCATTCTAGCCATCTTGCCCTAGACACGTTTTGCTGGCATTTCTTGACAGTCATATAAGGTGGGGAAAGCCCAGCTCCTAACTATAGAGCGTGGGAGTGATATTTCGGTAGTCCAGTGTCGATAGACTACCATGTAAATGCCGTTCCCTGAACTTCAGAGCAAGCTGCTCCTGGCCTGTCGCTCGTTTATCAAAAGAACGCAGGGCCACGCTTCTGTTAGACTGAATGCGAAACTGAAGTGTTGCAGAGGTATTCCACAAAATAGTAAGGATAATTGATGAATTACATACATTAACATGTAAACTAGAACATAAGAGGTGCGAGTGCTGTGAAACGATGAAAGTTGAATTTTGTTGACGAAACTGCAGAGGCGGTAAAATTAAACAATTTATGAAAACTCTTCATACCGTAACATATGGAGTCATTATGGTAATAGTATTAAAATATTTAAGAATGTAGTCTAAGAGTTAGAGGTAGATTATGTCAGAGGGACTTGCAGTTCCTGCTTCACCCGTAAACTGGCTCATTGGTTGATACTAACCGATCGCTTAGTATCGCTATTGCATCTTTCTCATTTATTAAAGGAATGGAAGGCCTGTGCATGTGTTTGACTGAATGTGAGACCGAAGTTACAGCTGTATCCTGCGATATAGTGGAGATAGTGGAGATACTTCAAAAATTAATCATGTAAACATGTAAACTATGACATGAAGACTTCAGTAATGCTACGGAACAGTACACATGGAATTACATTGAGGGTACTTGGATCGTGGAAGTTGGTATCGTGTTTTAGACAAGTTACCAACACCTTTTTGTACCATAGCATATGGAGTCATTATAGCTCTAGTATAAGAATTTTTAATAATTTAACCCATAAATTCGTGAGAGATTCCGTCATAGGGGTTTGTAGTTTTTATTTGGCTTAGTTATTGAAACTCGCCGATCGCTTACTACTATTGCTTCTTGTTTTTTAGATCACTGCCCTGCCACCACATTGCCTACTGTTGGACTACAGGTGAGACTGCATGCATTTTTGTGCAAGTTATATGTCCCGCTCATTTTAAATAATTTTCATATTTATTGTTTGTTAGTTGGTATTGTTGGTTTGTTTTTGGTAAGTCCTAAGTTAATATAGCCCCAAGTTTGAACTCGGACGTGTTTTGAATATGCGAAGAAGGTTTCTTCGCCAACTTTTATGGAACAGTTGTGTATATTCTTTTTCCTCGTGTCTAGTTTTGAAATAGTAAACTGGATTGCCATAACCACCGTTTGTGGGGGTGCTGACACCTGTAAAGTTGCTTGCGCCGCGTGGCGTACCTGTCTCGTGCAGAAGCCGTATTTCGGTGGTCGCAACTATTGAGTGTTAGGTGGCGTTGTGCTCCTGAGCATTTATCGCCACTATCATCATTATCATGGTTAGAAAACGTTAGCGCCGGCGGCGACACCTGGCGGGAAGCCTTGGTGGCAGTGTACAAGAAATATGCTGATCTATTTTGGCGTGGGGCGATAGCGCGGACAATCGCCTCCAGTGGTGGGCCTGCCGTGGATGGCACCGCGGGCTGTCTGTGGTGGGCCCACGTGTGTGTCAGGCGTTAGCAACACCGCCTTGTTTGTTATGTTGTTTATTGTTGTTTAATAATGTGTAAGGTTGTCTTAGTGTGTTGATTACAACTGATGTTAAAATAATTTGGCTGATGATACCGTCATTCTAAAAGTTAGTTAAATGAACGAGTGTTGTTTGGTTTGGTCCGACTGCAGTCTGCTGTGTCTGTTCACTCCAAAAGCGGTGGTGGCGTTCACCACTTTCAGACCCCACACCTTTGATATAGTTATATACTACATTTTATTTATGATAGTTAATCTGGCACTTTTTAACTCCCTGCACATTTACGGTACATACATATGCACTTTCTGTAAAAGTGAAATCGTTCGTGAGTAAAAACTTGGTCAATTAAAAACATCAATCTGCTGCATGGTGTCAGCTTTAGCATTCAAGCATTGTTTACCTGCATTTGAGGCTGGTATAGCTGAAAACTTGTTGCAACGTGCAGAGATATCTGCTTCAGAGTTTCAACTTTTCCAACTGGATTTGCGTACGTAAAGAAACAATAGCAAAGCTAATTAGTCAAACACTGCGACATCACACTGTCATTTAGTTAGAGTTATGACTTGTGCAGTTATGATTGCTTTCTCTGATTTTGTAATCCAGTTGATGGGGAAGGGGGGGAATCGTGCAATCTGCGAGAGCAGAGTTAACAGCGAAAGCTCTTATGAGATCACAAAAAGGTTGTTGTAGCTGACCGTTGCCTGTGTCCATATCCGCTTTCACACGAAATAAGAAAAAAATATCAAGGATCGAACTGGGTTCGAACCTGGGTCCTCTTTGTGCCAGCTCAGTATTCTACCATTAAGCCATGCCGCTGCTCGAAACTCCTGCACACAAAAATCCTACACAAGCATCATGTCAGCAAAGAACTGTGTTAACATGTGCAATATAGCCTGGTAGAAAAGCAGAATAACATCTAGTGCATTACGAGTGGATCGTTGAATGCTTCCAACCCATTACAAAGGGCTGAGCCATAATTATTCATCGTCATTGCCACTGAATCAGTGGGTACCTTGCCAGTGTATTTGTATCAGTATCCCCAAGAGCGTTTGCGACGGGTTCTAAAAATGACACTGTTCCAACTTTAGCTGGGACTGTGCTGCGCTTTCCGCGCAGGCATTTTTTTTTTTTAAGCAATTTTTTTTTTTTGCTCAGGGAAACCACTTGTTGATAGCTACAGAATGCGAATTCTGAAAACAGGATACGGCTGTACCATCAATGACACCCTGTACATAGTTCTGTGTTTGATCAGTACATACGGAGTTTTTATTTCAGTGGGTAACGGTGTTCTGCTTGGTTGCTCACACAGGTGCGAATGATTGATTTTTCAAGGGCCCTCAGAGCTTTGAGTACTTCGAACAAACAGGCGCAGCACATAGATCAGGTCGCGGTGCTTATGTCTCACAAAGCGAGAAACGCTTTCGTGGCGTGGAAAGTGGGCGAAATTCGAAATTGAAGTCTGCGCACCCTTTTTCTAGTGTGGGTCGCGTGTCAAGCAGGGTCCCAAGTGAAAAGCTCCCAAAGTTATGAAATTAAAAGCGCATGCTGCTTGTACGTCACTGACGATGCTATGCGACTTCTGTTGATGCGCCTATGCGAAGCTTGTTATGTCATTAATGGAAAGACACCGTTAAGCATAACAGAAAGAGACAAAAAGAAAAACGGTGCAGTGCTTGTTATGTAACATGATCCACTCCCTTGCCCTCAGCACATTAAAAAAAAAGCAAGGATGGTTTGGAGCTCGCAGATGGTAACTAAAAAAAAAAAAATGGTGTAGAGAAGTGATTCTCAGCCATGGATGTGTAGGGGACCCCTTGTGGACTGGTGGAAGTGACGGGGGACCTCTTGTAGGGGAGGGAGAGGGGTATGTAGGTAAATTGACACAATTTTAGCGTGAAACAGGCGCCTTTTATTGCTCCCAAAAACATCGAACCAACGTGGCTCTTCATTTTGAACAGCTCATGAATACGTGGCACAGTCGCGCTTAAACAGTGTTGCACATGTAAAAAACAAAAAAGTTTAAAAAGTGGGTGAGGGTTTCGCGGATCTTAGAAACGGCTTCGCTGACCCCCATTTGAGAACCACTGATGTAGTGTTTTTATCGACCCTGGCTCTCCCCTTCTCACAGCTTGGTTGCAAGACAGTTCAGGTTCAACCGAGAGCATTTGAACAGCTGCAATAATTGAACTGATCTGAACATCATTTTGGTGAAGCGGCACCCACGGACGGTACCTCATGGCTTCGTGTGGGTAACGGAAAGTTGCTACTTGGTCAGGTGAAGGGTCTATTTCAACGTACGTCCTAGATCAGCTCAGAACTTTTTTAGAGGAATGTCGCTGCATGGCTATCTGTCACATACTGCCATTGTCACCTCTTCTACCAGCCGTAACCATGAGCCAGAGTAAAGGCAGCCACACCTCGTGCTCGTGTTCACAACGGGGCACCACTTCCTTCCCGCTCATTTCTGGTCGCTCAAGGGGTCTTTGCTTCGGACCACCACCTTCAAGGTTGAGCAAAAGACCCTGGCGGGCAGTTCATTTCACGCTCTCTAATAGGCAGTTATTCGAAAGCCTCTGTCCTGTCGTGCCTGACTTACCTAACACTGTACCAAGTAATTTTTGTTGTAGTGAACCATCATAGTCATTATCTTCAATCACTTCAATGTGTCCAGGTTTGGAAGGCCGCCTTGGTGATGTCCGACTTCCTGCTGTATCATGGAAGGGAGCTCCTGCAAGGAAAAGGGGTCGTCGAACTGGGCAGCGGCGTCGGACTGTGTGGCATTGTGGCGGCCGCGTTTGCCGACTACGTCTTCTGCACCGGTGTGTACCTTCTGTGGCTTTTGTGAGCCTCTTCTTATGGTAGCAGTGGCTTTTCTTATATTGTAAATGGGTAATGGTACAGCACAAGCTATTCCTCTATTTAGTTTTTTTCGGTGTACAACCAACAACTAGCATGCATGAATTCTTCAAGAGGATTGCTGCTGCAGCCAACGATAGAAGTTCTATTGTTGATATGCGTTCAGCGAACTGGGAGCACGGGAACAGACAAAGGACAGCCAACTAGGCGACCTTTCTACCTATTGTCCCGTTGTTTTGCAGTCGATTGCCTTTACAATAAACACTTGTACAACGAAGTGATGTGTAACTAAGTCCTTGCATCATGTCTATATGCTCAAACCTCGATAAAGTGAACCTGGATATAATGAAATACAGCTTATAACGAAATAATTGAAGAATACTCTTGCAATAAGTATAGTGTTGGGAATATGCATGTATAACGTTTTTTTGTACATAACAAACTTATTGTATAAGATGTAACTTCGTTATAAACAGGCTTGAGTGTATTGCAAGCGCTATGGTCTGCATTATTCTTACACACTGTCAGCAGCTTTTGCTTTCTATGATGTCGCAACAGTGTTGGTGATGCCATGCTCAGTGTTTCGGGACAAAGTTCAGTGTAAAATTAAAATGCTTCATGAAGTGTTTGCATTTTAGTGTTTGTGTTCTTGCCATATTTCACCCATTTGCTGGCTGTCATTCGTAACATTGCATTGTGTAAGTGGTCGAAATTTTGAGACAGTGACGCTCGTAGGCCTTGTACACCGACTTTATATAACAGTGAACAGTCAAGCATAAATATAACGTATACAGGTGCAATGAATCATTGGTCCTATTGAAGCAATTAGTACAGTGTATAAAGTATTGGTTTACTGTAAACTCTTCGATATAACGAAATGGTTTTGGTAATGGATGCTGCTGTGTTATAATTATGGTCCGACTGAGGAATGTTGTCCAATGGTTGATTGATTGATTTGTGGGGTTTAACGTCCCAAAACCACCATATGATTATGAGAGACGCCGTAGTGGAGTGCTTAGGAAATTTCAACCACCTGGGGTTCTTTAACGAGCACCCAAATCTGAGCACACGAGCCTACAACATTTCCGCCTCCATCGGAAATGCAGCCGCCGCAGCCGGGAATCGAACCCGCGACCTGCGGGTCAGCAGCTGAGTACCTTAGCCACAAGACCACCGCGGCGGGGCGAGTTGTCCAATGGTAATTTCTTGGTGAATACTTCCGTATTTACTCGGATACTGCTGGCTGAAGTGGGTCGTCTTTTAGATTGGCATCCACTGTTACTGTGGCAACATTTTCATCAAGTATTTCATCATCGCAGTCCAATGATGGAATTGTCTTTGGTTTCTTACACAGAATTTTCTATTTCTCTCTCCTCTCTATATTTTTTTTTTTTCAGCCAGAAAGTGTGTCGAGTTTTCAACTTGAGTTTCTCACATTCCTTTCCTTTTCAGATGTTGGGGAAGAAGTTCTGCATCTGTGTCGGAGAAACCTGTACCAAAACGAAGACTTCTACGACACCCTCGCTGTAAGGCAGTGTCCGACGAAGGTCAGGTGTTTGGACTGGACAAAAGGACCACCGGAAATGCAGACCGTGACAGGTGCCTTTGCCTGGTCTGCGAAAGACTTGGACGAGTTCCGCAAAGCGGAGGTTATTCTGGCAGCTGACGGTGTGTCACGTCATGCAAGTTTGTCGTAGAAATTGTGACGGTTACTAAGTGTCCACTAACAGCATGCATACTCATGTAAGACTTCTGTTCGTCTTTTTTTTTCCAATTTTTCCAAGGCCCATTTCTAACACGAGTTTTATTTATGACCACTTGCTAGCACTGCAAATGACATTATGGATGATGTACAAAATATAATCATGGGAATTTACTATACACTGTAGACATGTTTATTCGATATGTTAATTATGAATGTTTGTTTGTTTATTTAGTAATACTGTCAACCCAAGTAGTGGTTTTTATAGGAGTGGAACAAATACGTACAATTATACAAGATGACACACATTGTTCTGCTGCAATTTGAGCAAAAAAAAAAAAATGGCCAAGAAGTACATTAAACAATAAAAGCATACAGTGAACGCAGGCATGTACACTTGCATTATGCGCATTGAAAATAAGATAAGACACTGGCATGTACACATGCAATGTGCGCATTAAAAATAAAAATTGACAACAAAGAGAGAAACAAAATAGACTGGAAGCACTTGAAACGTGCGTCGCTATGCAGTCCAACTTTGTTACTCGTGTGAATATTCTTATTCGTGACCGGCGTTTGAACATACCGATATGTGTGATAAAATAATACAAAAAAGACGGCTCTTTTCATGTTTGGGCCTTACGAAGGAACTTTGTCTCAGGTCTGCCGTTGTTGTTTTCATTGTGGGAATACATCATTTTCTTGAGTGAACCATGGAAAGCGAAACCTTACGCTTGGTTTCTCAAAGCATTCGATGCCTTAATAATAAAAGGACCTCTATAGTGAAAGATTACTTACATTCAGCATGTCATGAACATTATTACTATGCACAACCTTATAATGCATAATAAATAATATAAATAGTAATGAATAATAATATATAATGACTGCAAAACGTGAGTGTAGATAAGTGTTTTAGACCTCTTGATCACTTCATATTAAAATTGTTGTAGTGTACACAACACTTTATTACATCAAGGTTTAACTTGTGTGCCATTTGTCATGTCTTACAAACAAACCCAAAGGCATTTTGCTGTGTATGGTGCTCTTTTCACATCAAAGATTAGCTTAGTTGTGTATGCTGTCTATGGTAACACCAATCGTGCCCTGCCAATAAGCTCAATTGTACAGTGTTCTGAATGTTTAAAGGTGAGTTACACTCGCGCTGAATTACAGCTCATGTATTTCTCCCCGTTCTTGTGGTCGCTCGCAGTAGGGGTCATCTGTTCTGGTTGCAGTGGTGTACGATGACTGCCTGACGGACTGCCTCTTTGAACTGGTTCTCAAGACCGTCACCAGGGGCAGCCAGACGATATACGTTGCTCTGGAAAAAAGGTTAGGCCCCATTTGCTGCGCGCCATCCTGCTGTTGCAGTTTTCGATGCCTCACTTGGCAAATTTGGTGCTTTGAGATTACTGTGGGGTTACGACTTAGCAGTAAGTGTCCAGAATGATTGCGAGTGTGTTACTCCACACCGACCTCGGAGCGGTAAGGTTGAGGTTATTGAGAGATAATAACCCCTCTGAGCCTTTCAGCTACACTGGCCTTAGAGCGACAAAGTTGACGTTATTGTGAGGCATTACCCTCGAGGCCTCTCAGTAGTGCGAGACATTGAGATTCAAACATTGCCGTTGTGCAACGTTTGTCCACGGACTTTCGTCGTGTTGTTTCACTCAAAGCAGAAGTTGCGCTTTGAAATGTTAAACCCTGCCAGTCTTATGCGTGTTCTCGTACATTGGTGAACGGCAGTGCCGGAAGCGTAGATGCGCGCAGGGTATTTCACTTGTGGTGAGGGAAGAGGGGGATCCAAGTCTCTTTGTAGCCCCCTCCCTCTTTGTTGGTCGAGCTCGAAAAAAAACGAGCTTCGCATCCCATGCAAAAAAAAAATGAAGCACTGACGTGCATCTCACATAGGCCTACAACTATTGTCCTTGCGCATGGCTTTCCCGGATAAAAGTGAGACACAAATATTTCCTTGAATTCAACATCAGGGTTCCTTGGCTGCTAATTGATAACCACCCATTCTTGGCACAATGCCAAAAGGAAATCCATACGAATTTCTTGGAAAGTTTCTTAGTTGACGAAAAATCCATCCTGGTCCGGGGATCGAACCAGAAAGCAACGCCTTTCCGGGGCGGTCGCTTTACCAGCTGAGCTAACCAGGAAACTAGGAATTGGGAGCACGAGAGTGATTTCATTGATTACTCGAAGCACACAGACACGTGTTACTGCAAATCCGTGTGCGGAATCCAGCGAGATGGTGGTACAGGCCGTTGTCAGTTTTCTTTTCTTATCCATTCTTCCACCTGGTGGGATTCCTCAGAACTGATTTGCAATAGGTATTTAATCCTTGTGAAAAATTCGATGGTGTGAACACTGATAGCACAAGCACATAACACTCTTAGCACAATGATAGTGGCAAGCACAGTCTACAGTAATCACGTCTTCAGAATCACGTCTTCAGAAAAACACGTCTTCAGGCAATCACGTCTTCAGAAAAACACATCGGGCCTTCATAAAACGTACCGTCGAACTTGAGGCGCTGGTCTCGGCAATGATGGTGATTCGACGAGATGCCAGCCGATTTCCAAGTGCGGAAAAAATTCCAGAGTATTTCCTGTTTTCACGCTGTCCCGACTGTAGTAATAATGATCACACACACGCATGCACGCACAAAACCAGCTCGCTTAAGCCCAAGACATATTGTTCTCTTTTAGGGTGAACTTTACCCTAGAGGACCTCGACACTGTCAGTCCCTGCCACAGGCACTTCTTGCAGTGGTTGGAGAAGTTGCGAGAACTCGGCTGGAAAGTTTGTGCCGTCGACCTTTCCAATGTGCCGCAATACTTTGGGAGCTACAGCAGGGACTCGTATCTGGTAAGTCATGTGTGATCTCTTCACCACTGTGTTCCCAGTGAAGTAAAGACGTCTCACGACGCGTGTTACATGCTTTTCTGCTTTCTTGTGGTGCTGCAAAATTTTGCCGCCGTCAAACTATTTCGTGACCATTGAAGGACTAAAGCCTTTCCCGATGCGCGTCGTCTGAACCTCTGTCACGTCTGCATATTTTCTAATGTAATCGCAGCACTCGTGCGACCTCTGCTGCTCCCGTCTCTTCCTGATTTCTCAACATTTTTCAAATCAAGTGCTACAACACAACATCGGTTGTGCGCTCCGTGTGCTATATTACGTGGCCTTGGCACAAGCTTCAGATTTATATATTCGTGAGCGTCCACTCCGTAGTGCTCCTGGGTCCGATTTCCTTTCTCCGCAAAGTGAAAAATTTGTTATGTGACAAAAACATAAAGAAGAGGGAGGGGGAGCAAAAAAAAACGATTCCCGGCAACAATTTCACGAGTGAATAATTGGAAGTTTTATTGTCATGAAATGCTGGAAACTCCCCATGTTGAGTACTTATATATCTATTCAAATGGTATATAGCTTATGTGCGTTAAGTATATAATTTGAACAGCCATGTGTGTTGGGCAGCAGACTGTAAAAATAAAGCACGGCCTACCCTCAGCAGGGTTCGACAAACAAATACTATTTGGGAAGTATCAGGTAAAGTCATATTTGTCTGGCACCAAGGTGAATGAATGATGAAACACTGAACTGTTGCTCACATTTATGAAAGGTTATTATTGTCATTGATTTCACATGTCATTCCTATGGTATGTAACTGGGCATGAGAAGTGTGCAACATAATTTTTTACGTGGATATGTCTTGGTATTTTTCTCAGCTTTTTCCTCACGCTTTTGCTTGCTGTAGGAGCTGTGGCAATTGAGACCATGCTGATGATCGTCAAGAGAAGATGTCATCAACTCACAAACTCAAAGCAAGGTCAACAAACTGATGCATCTTCAGCCACTATTTCGATCGGTCTTCAAGCAACTTTGTTCATATGGCAGCACGCCACATGTTCAGAGTTTGAGAACCGTGAATGGCTTTGCACTACTGAAAAATGGTACGCAAACAAACCGGGTGCGGCTAAGATGTAGCCTTTTCTAGAAACGATATAATGCAACTTGGGCTTTGTGTATTATAAATAAAAAACCTGCACCCTACCTTTGGTCATGATGCTTCTACATTACATAAAGAAATCACCTAAACGATTAACTCGCACTTGCATGCCGTAGTTTGCAGAGGAACACTGGGACGAAGCAACTTCCAGAGAGAAATGTTTCTTGGAAAGGCATACCAGCATTTTGCGACAATAAAGTTATTCATAGGACTTCTTAAATTGTGTTAATTTATTCAGTGCCTTTCTATAAAAGCACTCATCATGAAAGCACAAGAAGGTGTGGCTCATTGCATAGCTATTGCATATCAAACATAAATAGCATCAGCAGTTTTCTAGAAATGAAGTTATCGACCGGGGTTTTGTACTCGCTGTACGTCAGTTTTTATCAAGTATTGGTTTCCTTTGCTTACCAATACAGTCGCACCTAATGCGACTTGCAACATGCTGCCCATGGTGTAAGCGACTCGAATACTGCGTGATGATGCCAACTTGGGTTGCAACTATGAGTTTCATCAGCAGTTTCTACTGCTCCCGTTTCAAACACCAATTTCACGTTTGCCGGTGTTGGCAATAGCCGCCTTTAACCATGCTATTCGTCTTGCAACTCAAATTGAGAGCCGCTGTACATCTTGGCATGAACTCAAACCTCATTATAACAAAGTTGAATCTTACAAGAAAATAAGTTTGTTATATCCGAAAATTCTTCATAAAGGTTATTCCTAACACTATCTGTTGCAAGACTAATTTTTATTCACTTTGTTATTACTTATGTTTCGTTATATCTGTGTTTGTTATGTAGATGTTTGAGTGAGTATCTTGAAGGGACACTAAAGTGAAATAACAATTTACAATTTAAAATAACAATGTCTAAAATGACATTACCAACAGCAGTGCCCTATTTAGCGAGAAATTAAGTTAAATGCACGGGAGCACCTTCGCCGTGAGTAGGAAATTTGTGAAATGATCTCAATGACCTCAGACTTAGCAGCGCTTACGATTAATCACTAGTAGTCGAACCAGCTGCACTAAATAAAAACCTTGCATGCGTAAATAGATTAATGAAATGCTGCTTGGTCGTTACTATGGAGAATGGCACGAGTGGTTCAAAAGTTCGATTTTACCTGGTTAAACTGCACAGGTCGTGCTATCTAGTGGAGCCCAGTTAAACCAAGCACGCCTGCCATCTCGGAGGCCATGGCAGGGAATTGTTCAATGGCCATTGTTGCTGCAGTGGCACCCGCTACTTTTGTTCTGCCGCTACAATTAAAGCCCGGCAACGTTGTGCACGGCAGCAGTGACGCGAAAGATTCCACTTGAGGCGGGTAATTTTAAGTGCGCTAATGCAATGCGGACCACTCAAACGTGACTTTATTTCATAATAAGCACTTCCTTGGCATAAAAGTAGCACTACGATGTTTCTGGGCCACCATTTCACCAATCAACATCGACTTAATATTTGCCTTTAGTGCACCTTTAATATGTCGTTTCGTGTGATCAACATTTAATAAACACTCCCATCTCGGAGAGCTTTGTCTGTAAACAAGTGACCGTGCAATTCACAAATAATCAGGGAAGTTGTGCAACTTTACTTGTCTAGTGTCAGTATATTTTTTTTAAACGATGGGCTTTAGGCACAGTGCAAATGCACAACAGTACTATAAGTGTGTTGCACTAAGAAGTCAGCTTCATAAAAATTGGCCAGGGGGAGCAAAGGGGTGTAGGCCGTCTTCCTATACCCCCCAAGCCACTAAAAGGACTTGCGCGTCAATCCCCAACGGCATATCAGCATGACATACTACTTGCACGATCATAACTGAAATGAACAACACAGTTTCTTAAAACTTGGAAGCGCAAAATCGATGAGGACAGAAAGGAACACTGAAAGATAGGACAGGGCGCGTGTTCCCGTGTTCCTTCTTCTCCTCGTCGATTTCGCGCTTCCAAGTTTTAAGATTATGAACCAACTAGCCCAGCAACGCATTCTTCTGAACGTATTTTCAAACACATATTTTAATGCGCAAAATGAGTCAATAACAAAATGATGTGAACACATTGCACAACACTCGCACACCACACCTGGGAGGCAGTTCTGGTAGATGTTCTCTTTCAGCCCTTTGAAACTGTCCTTGTAAAAGCCACGTAAAGAGAAAAAAATGAAAAAAAAAAGCTGCTTGCTCTTTCTTGTCGGCCTCCGCACTACATTCGTCGCTTGCGTAATATGCCAACAAAGAAATTGACTTCCTGAGACACTGATGAAGCAGTACATGATGCAGTGTTCATGTTTCTCACATGTATATACGTCTATGTATATTGTTTCTTTTTTCCCTATGGCTTGTCTCTTGGCATCCATCTTGCAGAGAAACCAGAGATATCTCGTCGCTCAGGTTTTGTGCAGGCTCAAATGAGCCAGGCTGGATAGAAGGTCCTGCACATCGTTGTCGACCTACGAGAGAGGAAAATGAAGCGATGGAACACAAATTCTCTCATGTCTGTTTTCTATGCGCACCATAGATGGTTGGAGTGCGAGACCCGAAATGTAACGATGGACGTATCGAAAACAAAGAAGTTTAAAAACTTGAAATTCCTAACCTCAGTATCCTGCCACATTGCTTTCAAAACCTCTACCCGTAAAAAACTGGGGATGCCCTGATGCCCACCTAAATCTGAGTGCCTGAGTGTATCTGCATTTGGCGCCCATCAAAATGTGGCCGTTATGGTAACGAGCCTAACCTCACAAATTTGCTAAGGATAGCAACAAAACCTTTATAATTGCAACTCTGGTGTCCTCCTTGGTTGAGAGTTTAAACCACTACCTCTCTGCCTGGCAGCGAGACACCAATGACGGCTGCACCACTGCCAGGCACGAAATTTAAATTAAACACTTGAGAGAAGAATGACTTTTATCACATTAGTAAATTACTGTTTCAAAATTGCAGGAACACCACGCTCGCAGCAAGAAGACACTTTGTAAGTGAGAAAATGTGCAAAAAAAAAAAAAAGATGCCGGAGGTGACGCCTCTTTGACAATTCTGCACCAAACGCTGTGACGTCACATATTTTGATACTGTCCAGTGGGTCCCATGTAGTTCGTAACCAGTAAAAATGAAGTACATTGTTTTCTGAGGGGGTCTCAGACTTCACGTACTAAGTTTCGGGAAGTTTTGTTGTGGCAATGTCGCCGAAATGCAACAAATACGCTATGAAAGTACATCCCTTACAACAGAAGTGGTGATTTCACTATTAAATTCGCGAATGAAACTTTCGCCTTGATTGTATCTTCTATTGAATAGCCCGCAGTGGACAAGTTTTGTGACACTAGCATTTTAAGAGTACAATTTATGAATAAGGATGGATTGGTCGTATCGCTTTTGTGTCCCTTCAACAGACCAAAGAAGCCATTCACCTCTTGCCGTGTCTGGTGCAGGCGCAGCCTCGTGGAGAAAGCACCAAGCAGGTCGCTCTCCGCTGGCTTGCCACTGCGCTGAAGGTACACTTGCAGCATCTCAATCACCTGCAATGAAAATTGAAGTGTCGATGCATTTTGACAGCTGGTATGTCCGAGGCATTTGCGAGAGTTGGTACCTTCGCTCAGGAATGAGCTAAGAAGTCAAGTTAAAGCAACCTTGATGTCTGTAAATCTGGAAAGTTCCAAGGCCAGCAGGGCGTGGGCATCAAAGTTTGTTAAGAGCACTGGCAGGACAATGACAGGTGAGCACAAGAGGGGAAGTCCACTGACAGTGCCAATAATACATTTTTGTTGTAAAATGCACTCTCACGTTTATTCATTTATTTACTTTATTGAAGTCCTATCTTGGGATGTCGACCTACATTGGAGTTCGACTTACAATCGTGTAAAGGTGGTACAGTAAAAACTCGTTATTTCAGAAAATTGATCATTCGAACGAGTTCCCAGGTCCTGGCTAGCATATAGTACATTGTTTAATGGCATCAAACTTTCAATGCTCCAGCCACATTTGGCCGCAATTCGGTTAATTCGTACGATCCTCGGAGCACGCCGAACTCAAAGTGCCGTCAATGCATGATGCAAATGAGTGAAAACAATGGTTGCAGACAACTGAAACAGGGTGGCGCAGTCCACATCGCTACTTTCGTCATTTAGCGACCACCGTTGCATCCACAGGTGGATCGGGAACTCTGCAGCTTTACATGCGATTTCATATGCCGAAGAACTGGTATTGTCGTGTGTGCATGGGTGGTGGTGTCGGAACTCAGTTAGAGAGGGGCGCAGAGCAAGTTAAGGGCTAGCTAGACAAGGAAGCCCAGCGCTGTGGCCACAGTAAGAACGAAGCTGCAGGATGACAAAAGGTGCAGTATTTACACTGATTTTATGAAAAATTGGTACAGGATTTACATATTAATCAAGAAAAGTGTATAGATGCAAAAGACATTTGCGTACTGTTTTCTCAACACCTTCAATAATGGAGACATCAGACCAATTCGAACATTTCTTCCGGTCCTGTAAAATCCAAATAAACGCGCTTTTACCGGAGCAATGTCTTGGTACTACTCACTATCGCCACGTGGCGAAGAGGCCTTGCAGCTGCTGCTAGCAAATTTGGCAGCTTCGTTACGCCAGGGTGAAAATGTATGTACGGTCACAGAACGGCGCTTACATTCATGACTTCCTGTTTGACGTTCTCCGAAGACTTTGCGACGTCCACCTTCAAGACGCGCAACTTGGACTGGGCTAGGTGCAAAGGAGTGCGGCCGGAGTTGTCTAGCGAGTTCACGTCGGTTCCTGATACAAAACAAATTTGAACGTAAAACGGTGCACAATGACAAGCAAGTAAAGCAACACAAACCAAGGGGCTCCAAGTTTGTTTTTTTTAAACAAGTGCACTATTGGTTTCATGCGTAAATTTAGAAGGCATGGCTAAGTTGCCGCTTTGTTTGACTCAGCTGCATGTAATTACCGAAAATCGCAATGACAATGAGGTCTTATCCATGACACAGTAACAAAGTTAGACGTTTAGCACATCAAGCTGCAGAGTTACATTTGGCGAAAATTCCCGAGCAACATTCAACGTTCATTGTGAGCACGCCTGTATTCTTCACGTGTAGATGTTGGTGATGTGCCATTCACTTAATTGTAAACGTGTTCGTTATGACGATGTTCGGCACTATGTTACGCTGCAATTTGAAATGAGATGCACAAGATTGGGGAGCATTTCCACAACAACACCTCAATGACACCAGCAGTTGATGAGTGCTGTAAAAATGTACATAACGTGCCACTCCAGCGGCAACGGCTGCCTCGCCGCGAACTACACTCAAGCCTCATTATAACGAAGTTGCATCTTATAAGAAAATAAGTTTGTTATATAGGAAAATTCATTTTAACGGTTAATCCTACCACTGCATCTATTGCAAGACTCTTTTCCCATTCATTTCGTTATAAGCAACATTTCGTTATATCTATGTTTGTTACATTGAGGACTAAGAGTACTTTGGACAAAACATACATTTCATTCATGACCATAGTTAGTCAAACTTATGGTAAGAGCAGAGTTGTGGGCAAATTTGATTTGAATCAAGTTTGCATGGAGCACTTGAGATAACTATCGAGGTGTTGACTAAAATCGGTTCCTTTAAAGACGCGCAGTGAATCAATTTCAACTCAGCTCAATCGCACGTGACAGCGATCACACGACACCGGCCCTGCTTGAAGTAGGGGCAACGCTTACCGGCTTTCAGCAGATGCGTGATGACCTCTGTATGACTTGTGCAAACGGCTGAAAAAGGAAGTAGCACCATTGTCAAGCTGACATAAAAAAATATATATATACTTAAATTGATTCTGTGGACCAAAGGTCCCTCCGCGTAGCTCCGAACTGCGCTTGTGTCGTGTAAGAATTATTCAATGGACCCTGTTCATGATTCGCAAGAGTGCTTCTCTGCACTGCATATTTGCGTAAGTAATGGTGGCACCTGTAGTGCTTCAAACGAAGTAGCAGTCCTAGTTGAACGTGCTGAGGCTAGCCTATTATGAGTGTTTCTATCAAGAGAGCTGACCCCACATTTTCCACGTCATTGCGTAAGTGAACTGTGCCTAAACAGGCTGTTTGCAGTAAGTGATCAGTCGTTCAAACTGCATAGCGAGAAAGCTAACCTTACAATTGTGAAAAGGGTACCATATTAAGTTTAATTATAGCTCAATCGCATTCCAAGTGGAAAGAAGGATCGAGCTTTTTTTGAATGTCAGATCATAACTGTGACACAGTTAACCGCAATGCACCATGGTGGATTTCATCTTATTATCGTTGAATACGTTCAGCATTCACGGTCTTTTAAACGGGACACCATTTCCCTTAGTACAACAGCTGCAACGAGCAATCCCACATGACGAACGCATTTTCTCCTTAGAAATCTGGCTGCCAAAGATAATGCAGGCTGTGATATAAAGAGTCCGAGACAAAACTGCACCGGTATGACACAAACTGTAGACATTGGAAGAAAAAGTATGCGCGTTACTTAGCCCTAAATCATCACATTTCGGCGAGTCAGCATTGTGCACTTTCACGTGGGGTGCGCTCGTTAACTAGGCCCACACAACTACAGCCCGTGCTTATGGGGTTAATTATCAGCCGGGAGTGTCTCTCACCTAGATGCAGCGGAGTGTTGCCAACAATGTCCCTCTGGTTCGGGTTGGCGCCGTGTTCGAGCAGCATTTTGACTGCACAGAAACACAGCGCGAGGGTTTCACTATTATGGGCAGAACTCAACGTTACTCCAGTAGCGTACAACCAGCAGGTTTTATCGACACAAACAGTGACCACACAGCATTTACTGAATATAACTTATTAGTCATTTGTCACCGTTGAGTCTTTGCAACACAATTGGTTCTACAAGAAGTCTAGACTTGGCAGGCTTCACATTTGAAGAAGGTAATGGAAACCACTCTTTAGCTGGCTTTTTTTTTTGCCCGTTAGATGAAAGTATCATCTGTGAAAAACATATATAAGCGAATCATGAGTGGCCTGAATCATTTATTATAACACTTGTTTACATTAACCAGTTTCAATAACTAGGATGCCATAAACTTGTAGCACTTACTTTTTTTTTAAATGAGCATAACTATATCTAGGCCTAATGCCGTACAATGTGGACAAAATTCGCTCTGCGCAATTCCGCCAACTCCAATAATGCTTAGACCCAGCATTTCTCATCTAAGCTTTGGTGTACAATTGGAATATCTCACAGGGGGTGGGACTGCCGGAGCCACACTGGGCCCAATTTAGGAACACGTAAACTTGAGTGTGGGAGCAGTTTTAAGCAACAACGACAACAGTGCTGCAGCACTCACTGATATCCAGGTGACCCTTGCAAGCTGCGAAGTGTAGGGCAGTGCGGGAACGCTCGTCAGCTGCGCATGGATTCACGCCAGTCTCCAGAAGCCGGCGCACTGCGGCATTTAAAGGCAATGCAACGAGTCGAATGCAGTGAAAAATCTTGTACGCTCAAACCTCATCATAACAAAGTTGCACTCCCACACAAAAAAGGTTCGTTATATTCAAAAATTTGTCATAAAGGTACATTCCTAACGCTATCTATTGCAAGACTATCTTTATTTACATGGTTATAACTGATATTTCGTCATATCCAGATTCGTTATATTGCAGTTTGAGTGTACCAAGTTCCACCTTTTTGCAAATAAGGCATTATCAACCAGGAATAAAATCTAAGTTGACTGATTATGGTGTGCTTAGGTTGAAAAGATAATTTATGCTGACATCCATATTATGAATATGTACAGTGGTGAGCTCAACATTGGGGACCACGGTAAAAGCAAAAAAAAAGTCAAAATCCTCCTAATGCTGCTACATATTATAATATCGTAGAACTGCTTCAACGGACTGTGTTAACTGAACATGCATGTGCACTTTGGCTGGACCACTCGATTTTGTTAAAATACTCGGGCTAAAAAGAATAAAAATAATGACACATTTTTGCGACGTCAATTGGTTCTCAAACGTTTGTTTGCAACTGCGTCATTGCAAAAATCGTATCACAGCAATTCCAAACTGCAGCCACTCCACGGCCTTCATATTTTGCTTTGCGTGAGTATTTCTTTGCCTTGAATGAAGGAAGAACATTTTTATAGGGCTTCTTTTATTGTTTGACACAACTTCGATCAAAACTATCAGCTAATGAAGGCAAGGAAATGCGAGCGATGTTAATCGCACTGTTTCAAGTGTATTGTAGTAATTACGATACAGATTCGGAGAAAGCAAAGGGAACAAATAGACAGCTTGCCGCCGGCACAGACGGAACCTGTAACCTTTGTATGTTTTGTTGCTTCTAAACTTATCAATCCTTTAGACCTGTTTGTTGCTCGTTACTTGTGATTAAGCATCTGCATTTTCCAGCTTCCTCCCGTGTTCATGTGAGGACAACAGGCCCGTCAAGTTTTTGGTGAAACTGCTCTTGCTTGCACATCTTTTCCGCGCTGTATTGTGCCAAACAAAATAAACAAAGCAACACATGCAACAAGCAAGTTCCCCATGCTTCTGAGTACATTTTATAAAATGATAAGGGGAACACAGGAGATGGCGTAAGCCCACACAGGATACTCATACTCGCGATACTCGGTTCATACTGATGCTGCTCGTATAAAGGATAACCAGAAGCGATCACTCGATTGAATTGTTCCTCCACCCCATTCTCCCCCGAAACACCTACAATTCCCTATTTGAAACTTTCGCGCCTCAGCCCTCCACCACACACGGGATCAGCCCACGAGTGACCAAGCAATCGGCCATGGGACGACATCACTAGATCGGGTCGTCACACGATGCCACAGTGACATCAGGATTAAGAGGAGAACCAACAGCGCTATACACCGGATCGTGCGGGAACGACACCACTGGTTCATTGCTAGGAAATCCAGCATATACGGAAGCTTCATGCAGAGGTTCAACGAAAACGCAGTGCACTCAAACCTCATTATAACAAAGTTGCATCCTACACAAAAGTAAGTTCGTTCTATCCGAAAATTCATTATAAAGGTATATTCCTAACACTATAGCTATTGCAAGACTATTTAAAATTTACTTCGTTATAACTGATATTTCGTATTAAGAGGGCCACCGTCACTTACCCAGCGGAATCTGGTTTGTAATAGCTGCTATCCGTAATTTGCGTTCACCTGGAAACAGAAACGACAGGCATTACAAGTCGCACATCGAATTTCAGCTTGCAAGGTGCCACGTAAAAGAAATATTCAGCACCCTCAGGCCAGCAGACATTTCCTCAATATGCGCGAGAAATGTAGTCAAATTAATTTAATTAAAGAACAATGAGTGGTCCCAATAGTACTGCAGAAGCAAGTATGTCGGTGACTCCAGAAGTAAAACTGTTTCTTTTTCCCGTTTTCGACAACACTCACGCAGCCATCATGACAGTGACCGTCCTCTTCCTAGCGAAATACAGAACTGTGCTTGTGCAGGAGGGGTTTGGCTACAATAGTTTATTTTTTTAAAGCCCTGGTGAGAAATCTTTCCGTTGTGACATTCTGTCGTCTTTGAAACAGGGAAATAAGAACAAGTTGAATAAGTGCAAGTTTAAGTTCAAATGTATATTTGCGTAAACAAGGTTACATTATTGATCAGTGTAATACACTCTGACACAAAACAATATCAACATAAATGATTGGCAGTTGAAAAAGCAGTCACAAAAAAAAACTGTTTAGTTTTCCACCTTGCTAAGAAGCGTAGCCACTATTACAAAGAACGCACAACACAAGCGCAATAGTGGCTGCGCTTCCTAGCAAGATGGATCTTTATTAACTACCCCGATACAATTGTTTATTTAGTTTTCCACACAGCGCTTGCCTCAATTTCTTATGTCATATTTCTCACATTACTCGCCCGAAGTCACCACATTTCGGCAGCTGGCACCAAAAGCGCTCGTCACAACCGCCACAGCGGACTTTTCTCGAAGCTTGCAGCTAACAAGTTCAGCTGCAATAAGAGTCGAAATGCTGTTTTTCCCAACTTTGCCACAATATTTTGGCAATGTGTTTCGTTCATTTGCTCACAAAGTACTTAATTCATTTAATATAGAAACATATTAAACAGGAAATGTAAATATATTACTGGGAAAATTTGTGCTTTTTATAAAAAAAAACGTTAGACATGCAGCACATTGCAATTTGTCGCCAAGCGGAAAAATAAAAAAAAATTAAACAGAAATGAGAAAAACTATTATGGTCATTAAAGAGTGGCACCTTAAGGTTAGCGAAAAAGATTGTTTCGTAATAATTGCTCAAACCAGTAATATTATATAGAAAGTTTCGCTTGGACGACCAAAGCCAAGCCCCCTCTAGGGAACACACAATTTTTATGCGAACCATAATGCCTCGATAATTACTTCTCATATTCACATATACCTCTACGATTTGCTTCAGCAGGATCGGAGATGGTAAAAATTGACTGGGTACACTTGACATGAAATGACCCATATATATTAAATTCCTGCCGAATGCCACACGTTTTGTTCGACACTTTACTTCGTTCACCTAAAGCTATGTATAGCAAGATACTTACACCAGAAGGAACTCAACAAAAAATGTTCAATTGAGCACTAGCTCGGTCTTTACAGTCTCTTACTTGCCAATAATAGGGCACAGATATGGCTCGTGTGAGTCTCGCCTTCAAATGAGAATGCCGTGTCGCAAATGGCTACGTACACAATGCCTACTCTTAGGGCTTTTGAAGACACTACTTTTTCAGCTGCTCCACCCTGTCTCTGTAAACTCGAGCCAAGCTGAACTTGGCTCGAGTTCAAGCCTTGCTTAGTTAAACACTTTCCACAATTCAGCTCCATGACTAAGCTAAAGTGGGTGAATTTCCGTGCAAATAATGTGTCGAGTGACAATATTATAACAGCACCGTGCACTTTCTTGCAACTCTAGCTGCATGATATGGAGTAGCCGGCGACTTGTAATGCTTATTATGCACATAAATATTCCTTTACAGTGCACTTTTCATGTACGTGTAGGTAAATTGACCTTCTACGCCTATTTCTTCATTGAAAAACACAAGTTGCTGGGTGACCGTGTCACGGACCTTTCAAAAGTGACGAGCGGAAACCTGCTTCGAGACAAAGCAACAGAGCCGTCATTAATCGTTTCTCACCGATGATGTTTCGGAATGCAGCACAGTTGCCCGACAGGAATCGCCACCTGCGGGCACGTCTTTGCAGCATGCGCATCTTGCCGTGCCAGGCATGCAATGATGACAGGTCGCCGTCTGCCATGGCTCCGCCGTGGCCGAGCAGCGCGACCGAAGACTCCGCCGCCATGGCGCCGAGACACTGCACGGCCAAGGGCTGGACACTGCGGAAGAAAGGCGCCCCCGCATCACCCACTTCCTCGTCCTGGGGCTCGGCGTGATCCTGCAAGCAATGCAAAGAGACAAACCACCTTTGAAGATAGACAGTGTGAACTTTTCTGAGCTAATTGACACATTTTCAGGGCATATATTGATTGACTGATTGCTTGAATCATTGACTGAATGATTGATAGCCTCCAAGGCAGCACAATAGGTATGCAAAATGCTTTAAATCATTCTCAATGCAGACTTTTTTACTGAAGACTCCCTGGGCGCCATCATAGTCCTCTCTTGGCTGGTTTTCACCCCCACCCCCCCCTAAATGAACTGCCAAGGCTGTGACGTTGGCTTTTTTGCTCCCGGACAACAGCCGAGAAAGGAAGGGATCCTCCTCTGTGTAAAAAATGTCTATAACCAAGAAATACGCTGAGTACCCTCCGTCACTCTATGCATGATTAATCGATTGTTTGACCAATTGATACTAGAAATCACGAACTGCTTTCAATTCTTCCCAAGGTAACCAAGTATGAGTACTCTATGCATCACTGATTGATCGATTCATAGCCTCCCTACATTACTCCTACAATAAATCGCAAATCAATCTTAATCCTTCCGAACATAACCTAGCATGCGACTGAGTATACTCCGTCACTACAAAGGACCAGTAAGCAGGCTACGACATTTCTTTTACACCTTCCAAACAAGCTGGCTGTTCCTGTGCAGGTTACAACGCTGTACTTGCAAAGTTGGGGTTTCACTGATTTCGCGCGTGTTCCCTCCACAAGCCAGAAACCAGTTCTTCGTCGAAATTTCGATGCGCAAATAACGAAACATTTGGGAAGCAAGAAAATGAGACAACGCGGGACTGTTCCGCTTTCGTCCAATTCCTGCACAGCCAATCACGCACGCAACGCACCGAGTTCGTTTTGCTGCAGGGCGTAGCAAAATGAATCACATCTGTGCAATGTTCGCAACCCAGTACAGGTTGATCGACGTAGCGCGTTTAGAAACATAGGACAAGGGAAGGGACAGAAGGGAGCGCTTACTTACAACCTCCCTTCTGTCCCTTCCCTTGTCCTATGTTTCTAAACGCGCTACGTCGATCAACTATGTCTTACCAACATGCCCAACTTTATACTCTAGCCAATACAGGTGTTCCGCGACGCACCTTGAATCGCGATCGAATTTACTCGACTTTTATTGGTTCCCTTTCGCGCGCAGCTTGCGCAAATAGGCCAACCGCGATCGAACCTTTTCGGGCCACTCATTCGCGGTCGGATTTGCAGCGTGTAACCTGTGCACTGCACTGAAATAATAGACAGGAGGGAACGCACTGCAAGCCTGTTTTGCTAACATAACAAGCGCTAGCTAGCACTGTTCGCCGTGCTTCGAGCAGCTGGCTATTTAGCGGCCATACTGGCCAAGGTAGTTGAGTGAACGGAAAGCACGATCTTACGTTGTCGGCATTGGGCCTGGGCGGAGATTCCACGGACATGGAGGTGCTACCGTTGCTTTCGCTTCCAGTCTCAATTCCAGAATCGGTGCCCGACATTTTTTTTTTTCCCTCCCAAGGAGTATTGTCTCTCAGCGGCTGTTTTACGTGGTGCGTGCTCGAATGTCGGTCACCGTTGTGCACACAGATTTACAACGAACACCAAGCGAGGTGAAACGCTCCCACGATGAGAATTAGAAAGCGGCCACCGTATCGCGGCACTCCCACATCGGCCGACAACACCGAGCTGCACAGTGCGTGAATGCGTAGCACAATAAACAAACAACGCACATGATCCGCAAAAATCGCGTGCGTTCCGTTAGGCGTTGAAAATGACGTTATATCACAACATTACATCACAGTTTTGTGAAATGCATTCGATTTATAAACAAAAACGTGCATGTGGCTACACTCGAAAAGTCAAAAATTAAGTATATATAAATATTTATGTGTTTTAGGCAGAACCAGGCTGTGGTCTGTATTAAAAAATTTGACTGTTGTTATTGCAACGAATTATCCTTAAAATAAAGCTTTATAATTCAACCATCCAAATTTGAGAGCACTCCCAAAACGTCTTAAAAGCACTTTTTTTTTGCACCGGCAAGACTCAGTGTAAGTTACAATGCAGATCATAAAGTTTTAAATTTGTTGATATTAAGCTATTTTCAACTATAATAATTTATAAAAATTGCAAAAAAAGTTTTTGTAGAGCAAGACATGTACATTCATTAGTACTTTAAGTTTATGTATGTAAATATGTAAATATATATAGAGTGTACTAGAAGTTCGATCCTTGTAGTACACTCTAATATAGATAATAAAACTCGCTCATTGGCTTGAAGCTGAGGGCACACAAATATTGGTACTAATTTTTAATTTCCTTTCAACAACCTGCGCTATGATACGGCAATTCTTAAGGTTGTTCTGAGGTTTAATTCAACTAAGCAAGTATTTCATTTTTTTTTATTCATTTAATTCTTTAGAGTAAAGTAGTAGATACTGTTCCTTTAGTTTGGAATATAGTGTGGCGCTCTCTTTTAGTGTTTAGCTGAAGCTTTAGGCTGCCTCAAAGATTAGAAATGTCAAAAAAGTTGAGTTGTTTGTCTAAGTGTCTCCACCAAAGCTAAGATTACACCACTGAAATGCAAGTGATCAGCTATTGTGAGTGTTTTTATGCTACCACTAAAAGTATTGAACATTAGTTGTCACACAATATGGACTATTCAGGGCAGCAAGGCATGTGCTGTTATCTAGCGCAGAGACTGAAAAACATACGCAAAAGGCTTACGGCCTCCAAGACTGGCGCAGCAATAAAGGCAAAGTAAAAGGGTCAAGTCCACACATACTTTGCGAAGGTTGTATTAAAAAAGCTTTTGCGGTAATGTAACCACTTCGACTGTACCTAACGGGCCTAAATGGTGCATCGATCGGTGATGCACCGTCACTTAGATTGCGGAAAACTCAGCGTATCGCCAATACGCCCATTCGACACGGTCGGTAGTGTTTCATCGGAGTCGTTAATTTCGATCGGATCAATGTTAGATTTAACGTTACTGAACTCATCCGCACTTCGACACATCAGTACGCAACCACGGGTCTCGATGCGGCGATAGTTGGTGTAGACTACGTCTTTTAACCCGCGTGCGCTCACCGCAGCCGTGGTCTAACGGTTAGGGCGTCCGACTCGGCTGCGGGAGGTGGCACGTTCGAAACCCACCGCCGGACACCCACCGGTAAAATTGGGTACAAGCGCACGCCCGGCCAGGCGCTCGGCTTTTTTCAGGGCGTTGCGCTTGGGGGAAGCCTCGCAAACCCCGCTAAGCCCTTCGGGGCGAAAACCCAGTTTCGAACGCAAACCTAGCCTGCAAAGGTGGTTCTTGACGTGGTCTCCACGTGGATGACCTTCGGGTCGGTTAAAACTACGAGTTCACCAGGTCACGCATCCGTGCGTCAATGGCAAACACAGAGAGAATCGTTTCTCAAACTCGCGCAAGCGTACAAAGCGTTCCTACCACAGAACCAGTGAAGTCAGCGCAAGCCAGGTCGGAGCAGTGTATTGTGACGACTGCTAATGGCGAACAATGACAATAAAAAAAAAAAAAAAACTCGGGTGTGGCCGTTACAGTGGCGGGGGTTGCGGTCAATTAGCCCGCGGGGCTTCTTTTAGTTCCCACATGAACAATATTTCTTACTTTTTCCATCTGAAAGGTTGAACCGAAAGTTCTTCCAGCTGGAAAAGTTTCTCGTTTAATAATCCAGCAAGAGCACTATATAACCTATCTCGAAATTAATGAGCCCCTTAATGGAATATAGCCGAATACTGTCTTTTAACTGACAATGTTCCTGTGTATATATCTACTTCAAGCTGAGTTATAGAATCAAAAGCATTTCCAGCTGGGAGATTTCTGGCTAAATAATTTTTCGCACGCAACAATCAACTATTTTCACTAACTAATTACTTTAACGAAACGTGAAAAAGCGCACACTCATATGCGATCGGGATCAGGACGATCGCGATTTGAGTGACGTGCAGCCAAGTTACAGAATTTGATCCTGGTCAGGCCCAATAGCGCGTTCCGAATAAATTGTGGCCGTTTGACATGCGCACCAAGTGTTGCGTTCATTCCGGGCTGTAAACATCTTGTAGCGATCGACTGCTTAGCCGACCACGTATATTTACATTAATTAAATATATCTGTGTATTACTGAACATACTACTATTAACACCGTGACCTCTCTAAAATCGATGTTTTTACAAGACAGCCCACTTGAACGCCTAGAGGGGCGTAGCGGGAAATTTTATAGGGGGGGGGGGGGTCCAATTATACTTAATGTATGTTCGTGAGTGCGTTTGTATGTGTGCGTAAGCATACTATACGTCATGGCGACAGGTGTGATACGTTTGTTTTATTTTGCACACTTCAGCCAATTGCGAGAAATCAGCAGTTGGAAACAGCGCTCTACGTACATTGTATAATTGTTGATTGTTGTACGTGTAAGCACCCGGAACCAAACTCCGTGGATAACACTCTAGCACAACGACATTTTGTATGGTGGTGTCAACATGAAGGGGTTAGCGTGTTTCACGCCTTTCTTGTCGATAATAAGATAACATAGTCGTGGCGTGCTCGTTGCCACTCGTTAGAGAGACGACTACCGTAGAGACGACTACCGTGACATACGTGAAACCATTTTGTTTTTAGCGCCACCTAAAAACCGTCGCAACAAGTACGGCACGCATTTGTTGCTTAACTCTCAGAGGTCACGCTTTACGAGACCATTGATTGCTACTTAGTTTATGCACCTGTCACCAGAGTCCGCTGCCTCCTACAAACGTGCTGCATGGTGGTGTGTTGTGTTTGTCTTGCCGCGTTTGAGAGTTCTCTTGTTCTGCGATATCTCCGAGTTTAGTAACCGTCTTTTGAGTGAATGGTGGAAACTGCCAGCGGGGAAGCCGTCATGGAAAATCTGCGCAAGTATTACACCGTTATATACGCCCAGTGTTTCTCCCCGTGCAGCAAGTACCTCGTGGCTGCCAGCAACTACGGCGAGATCGCGGTCTTCGTTGCTTCCAACTTCTTGTCAACCGCCTACGGCAGCGACGACGAAGATGGGTCACCTTCGAGAGAACCGTTCTACAAGTTTGCCGCGCACTCCGGCAGCATCTTCGCGTTGGTCGCGTGCGACGACTTTCTCATCAGCGGCGGGAGCGGCGAGATCTTCGCCTGGAACTGGGACAAGCTGAAGCGGAGGACCGCCGAGAAGTCCTGGGCCCTCAGCATCCCTCAGGGCGAGAGCATCGTCCAACCCGAAGTGAACGCCCTGGTTCTTTCGGGCAAGGACGCGGACCAGAGGGTGCTCATAGCCGGCTGCGGGGACAACAAGGTCTACGTGTGGGACGTCGAGACGAGGATGCTGCTGTCGACGCTGTCGAGACACACGGACTACGTCCACGACCTCGCACTGGCGTCCAACAACACCCAGCTGTACTCGGCGGGCGAGGAGGGGTCCGTCCTCTGCTGGGACGTGCGAAGCCTTCAGCGTGAAGTTTTCCACATTGAACCTTTCAAGCGGGAAGAGTTGCAGCGTCCCCGCTTCGGCAAGTGGATAGGATGCGTCGCCCTGGAGGCTGGCGACGAATGGTTACTCTGCGGAGGCGGCCCCAACCTGTGCGTTTGGCACGTTCCCACGTCTTCGCCAGCGACGCCGCTGGTGGAGTTGGCGAGGCCCGCCCACGTCGCCCACTTTTACGAAGACATGATTGTCGCTGGTGGAGGCGAGCCGAACCTCTACCACTGGGACTTCAGCGGCCAGCTCAAGGCTAAGATCGACACATCCGCATCTAGCCTGTACAGTGTCGTATTTCAGCTGAACCCGCCGCACAAGGGACTCTGCGCGGCCGGTTCCAGCTACAAGATCGAAGTGTGCACGAACTTCCTTTACAGGGACTTCTCGTTGCACTTTTGAAGTGAACCCCTTGTTGCTTCCTCATCGCACTGTCGTGACGTCATCATTAAATTACGCCTCATTGTCAGATTTGCCATCTCTTGCTTGAAGTATTTGGGTCGCCAACCTTGGCCACTGGCAAGTTCATAGAGCTTCTGATAAATAAATTAGGGTGAACTCTGGCTCTAATGTCTACGGTAGCTGCAATGCTTGGCACTTTAGCCAACATGGGATTGAGGGCATTAAGTTGAGGAGCTCTTGCATGCTCTAGCCAGAGGTGTGCGTGAATTCCGGTGCGTTATTACAGAGCGCGCTTCAACCCTGAGACAGTGCACAAGGGCCTGCACGAGAGCTTGTGCCTGGTTCGGCTTCCGGAAGAATCGCGTATTTCTGACTCTCTCCCTGCCCACTTGTTCCTACCGTGGAAGCAATGTAACATTGACCATGTAAGGATTTCGTGCACCCAAAAGAAAACAGCAGAAATTGCTGTGAAAAGCGTCGCACTCGAGTGCAGTTTAGTGTGTTCCTTTGAAGCTTGAAGTGTGCTAACTTAGCATGCCCAATGACTGGTAGTACACAGATTTGTCTAATCTTCATTGTTTCGGCTCCGTTTGGCTTCGTGTGGGCTGGATATGCTTTGTCACAAGATGAACTTGTACGAATGTTGAGCATTCCGTATTGCCACCTTAACCTTCTAGGCTCGCCACTTCAAATCGGCTCACAAAGTTCACAACGGTCTATTCTTTTATGCGTAACGGAAACGAAACACAGCAATAAACAAAGCCACAAAATACGTTTGAAGCCCTCGAGCACGGAGACTTTGCAAGCCTGTGTACTTCTGATCATTCTCATGGTGGGTGAGCGATCACAGCACCAGAGTTCCTTTTAGTTAATTTTAGAAAACTCTATGGGCTGGCCTGCCTGGTTTTTGTCAATGCACAGATGGGCGAATCGGCGACAAGTGAAGAAGTGCACGAAGTTTTGAGCGAGAAACTAAACAAAGAGAAGAAACAGTAGAAATGTGGAAGAGTTGTTAGAAGAAATAACTCATAAATGTGGTAATTACTCGAAACGGCTCACACACATTCATGATCACATGTTCAGAACACCCACATAATCGGAGACAACAATTACATGTGGATGCTGTTACCTATTATGAGTGGTCAGGATACACCAGCTCTTTGTCATTACATTATGTAGCATTTCTAGGTAAGACTAGCATTCTCTACAAACAGAAGACTCAGTTTCACCGAAAAATAATAGAAGTGTATGGAATTACCAGGTTGTGAGATAAATGCGTCAGCCAAGCTTCGGTATATCTTCATGATAGAGAGCTTATATATCTTGACAACTGATAATATGTAACCACATGTGCATGTATGTACGTGTTGTGTCATATTATGCAGGTGTACTGGACATGTGATCACGAATGGACACTTGCAAAGAATTTCTGTGCGGAAATGTTGTTTTTTCCGATGAAATTTCAGCTGATAGTAGGTTATTGTGTTGTGTATTTCCTTTTTCTTTTTTAGTCCTCATTTGAAATTCCGTGCTCGTTTCTTTTGATGTTTGATTGAAGCCGTTGCCTGCAATGCCAGGGGGTTGGTGTTTGCATGGCTGTAGAGACGTCTTACTAAACTCCAGCTATGACAGAAAGAGAAGTTACAGCAATCGTTAGCAACAGATGTGGTCAACTTGTTTCCCACAACTAAGACAGGCTAACAACCGGTTAACCACAATAAAATTTCTGGTTTGCTACCCTGCACTGGGGAAGAGGGTGGATAGGTAAGAGAGGAGTAAGAAAAAAAGGAATGGTTAACAAAAAGGAGAGAAAAAAAGAATGCACGCACACTGAAGCACGGGAGTGTCACAGTCGTTTTGCGAGCTTGGTTGACCGCAGAAACTTCGGCAGCGCCTTCATAGCTTTCTGCCTAGAAGCTGGAATGTTCTGGCACAACGAAAAAAATTATCTGAAAGTTCGAGTCGTGCTAACATCCTCGAAAGCTGTTGTCTCTGGGAGCTGTAATGGGAACAATCCCAAAGAATGTGTGCAACGGTTTTCTGACTGCCGCAGTGATCACACGTGCCAATGTCAGCTAATGCGAATTGGTAAGCAAATCTGTTCTTGAAAGACACCCCAAGCCAAAAGCAGCATAGTACAATACAGTACGGCAAGATGCATTATTTTTTGCCGCAGGAAATGTCGCTATACAGGTTCTATTAGCTGCCCCACAAATGAACAGAAGTGATCTCGATTTGGATTATTTACAGTTTCGACTGCTAGTGCATTCCAAGCTTTTACAGCGCAAGAGAAAAAGGGCCATATTTTTTTTGCATATACTGTTTTTGTGTACGGCATTATGCCTGCTTTAAAATACAGTTATTGAAATACATGTTTAATTGGAAATAATTAAGTTGTGCAGTTTGGGCAACTTAAATCTTATGTTTTGTTTTCATATATTGAAATACATGTTTAATTGGGAATAATTAAGTTGTGCAGTTTGGGCAACTTAAATCTTATGTTTTGTTTTCATATAGTACTTGGCCTCATTAATTATTCATTCACAAATTTCGCACATCTACCATTACAACAAGAATGAAATAAGTCGAAAACAGATTTGCAATTACCAAATGTCCCCCATCGATCACATGAAGTCTCCCTTGATTTTCTTCTATCCTGTGCAATATAGCCAGGAAGACATCCGTAGCGACCGTCTTGTCTTTCGCAGTTCTTTTTTGGTCCATTCGCATCAAGCTGCCAAACTTGCTCAGGAGCGGCACTGGCAAGGACATGGGGGGCTATGCCCGCCCTTAAATTCTGTTGTATCTCCCCCCTCCAAGATCAAACATAATCATAATGCCACTTCTAAGTTCTCCACATCATGCCCCTCAAAGGGACTTGTCGTGGCTTCCCCCCCTCTCCTTCCAGTAAAAGAAATCCTGGCACCACTCTTGTACTTGCAGCGAATGTTTGGATCTACTGTGCTCATTGGATGAAACGAGACATCAAAATGTCACGTATAACGACTGGCACGCACAATTGCCCGAGATAACTGTAATAATTGTCATAACTATGTTGCCAGAACTTTGGCTAATAAACATAATGGTATGATGGCTATAACATTCCAAGCACATTTTAATCGAAATTGCACCTCTTTGAGATGAACTGAAAAATGAAAATACGTCTATTACTTAGCCCTAAATTGCTGTGTCTCGATTCGCGAGCACCGGTGCTTTTCATGTATCATGCAAACGTCTCGTGGCAAGTGACCCTGGATAAGAGTAATAAGAGCTGCATCTAGTAAAGTATAGCCTGGCCAACAGCTGCCCATGTTAGAAGCACAATTCCTTTTACAGCAATTTGATTAAAGCAGAAATATTATATTTGGAAGAATTGTTTTCTCTGCAATTGTGTTGGCAGTCCCTTAATTTCATCGAATAAACTATTGCTTACCAAACCACATGTGATGTCATATCCAGCTAGCCAGAATAGAGGAAGGTCTTGTGAGTAAGAGATGCATTTAGAAAATTTGCACATTTAACGTGACAGTGAGAAAAAATATCTTACCTTTTTCCTGAACACTGAGAACTTTTGGCAATTTGACAAGTTGTAGTTGTTCGAAGCCTTGACTGAAAGAATGCACAGGATACTGCTTTTTTCAGTCATAGCAGGGAAGCCTTTATGGTGATGTTGTATATGCTGAAGAAGATATATGTTTTTCTAAATATTTTCTATTTGTGTGCTAGATCCATAAAGAAATAAAAGAATGGGGGATCCAGAATATTTACTTTACACTGTATATATAATCAGGAAGGATCTGCGTCAACCACAACCAATCATGAGCGAGTTCACCGGTGGTCTTACATTTGACAGTAACTGGAAAATGGTTTGTGTGTGATTAACAACTTTTTTTTTTTTAGACAGCACTGATATTCTTTACGTGTTCATAGAAGGAACTATAGACCCATAATAAACTGTAACTTATGACTGCAAAAGTTTCATATGACTTTTACTGAAAGAAAACTAAGAAAATAATAAATGAATTATATAAGCTTGATTGATTAGAAATTATGTACGACTCGATCATGCCTCATTGGAAGGGGAGGGGATATGAAATTTCCCAAATTTGAAGTGTCATCTCGCACAAAGTCGTGTTGGCTGCAGCAATACCTTTTCATTAATCATTATTTATGCTTCTGGTTGAAACTGCTCTTTTTTTCCTGAAACAATTTTCGTTTAACGTAAAATCACGAAAATTCATTTTTTGATAATAACTTGGAATTTAAAAATTTTGCTGTATGACAGGGCTGAAGGGGCATGGCGCAGCTGAGGAGTCAAGGATTTAGTTTTGACTACCTGGTGGTGTTCTTTAATGCGAATCCAGGTACGTCAGGTCTCTTGCGTTTCGCGTCCATCGAAAAGCAGTCGCCGCGGAAGGAACTCGAAACAGCGCGCCAGCGCCTAGCAGCGTGGCACACATTGCCACCAAAAAATTGTTAACGCAACACAAAAGATGCATTTCTATATCTCTAGAGTTGATCCACTAACGGGGCACCTTGGATCACAATCAAGATCGAATTTCGTGATCGCAATTTGCATTGGCTTCTTTATTCAAGCTGCGAATTGTATAAAAATTTTGCCACATCGTCTTGAAATGAACATGCTAAGGTAGTCGAGCATTCATAGCTTGTACTGGCGCAGGGGGGTTGGCTGGGGTTAGTTCAACCAATTCCTCACAATGCCTTAAAAAAACAATTGACTATGCTACTGACAGCTAGGGTACTCGAGCATACACGGCTAGTGATACCTTAGCTGAGCTTTTTTGAATTTTCCGCGCTTGAACCGTGTCTGTGTTGTTGTCTATGGCGTTGGTGATGCAAAAGTTTCAGAGCAAGACCGGCTGCGCGTTACTTGATAGAACAAGCTAATGTTATTAATTGCAAATCTAAAGTGCAAAAAAAGAACGTAGCAAGTTGATTATTTAGCTACGTTGGTTGGTTGAGCGCGATTTGCGAGCAAGCTTTTTTTGATGATGGTGATGGCGACTGAAAATGGACGACGGATGCTGATGATCAGTCAACTTCCGTTAAACAGGACTGCGGAGTGAGCGGAGCGGTGTGGTCTGTGTGGTGTACTAACGCCGGTTGTCACCTTGTCAGTCTCAAGAAATTCCGACCGCTTCCACCCCGCTCGTGTACAAACGAACGATCCCCACGATTGTGGCCCACCGTTACCTCGCTTGAAAGCCTTTCGCAAGCGGTAAGCGATTCGTTCAGTCACTGAGCCGGCGTAATGGATGCGTGCTCCTTTTCTGAAACTACGGGTGGCTCTTCCCGCCAACAATAGATGGCAAGTGCCTCCGTAAAGGTTAGTGGGCACGGAATCTCATAATTTGTTGCACGCACAACCATCGATGTTCTGGGTAGCAGCGCCGTCCCCTCGGCAGCACCGGTCTCTCCTCTAGTGTGAAGCCTGTCACTGAACTTTACAGAATAAGCGAGTGCATTTCAAAACTACACCTTGCGTCACGACTGCTAACTCGGAGGTCGCTGGTTCGGTCCCGGTGGTGGCGTTTCGATGTTGGTGAAATGCTGGAGGCCCGTGTTCTGCGCAATGTCAGTACATGTTAAAGAACGCGGCGAGGTTCCTTTTGGCGTTGCATAAATCAGTTGCCAGACTTTGGAGTGGTTGTTGCCAGATTGCCGCTAAATTTGGCCGAAACATTTTCTTCTGTAGTTGTGGCTTCTTCGTAAGAGTTTGGTGCCATGCGGTAGAGTCCCCCGTCGTAGCGCGCGGTCGACGCGACACGATCAGCTGAGAGAGAAAAAAAAAGTAAGGGGGGAGGGGGGCAGCGCGTCACCTCCTGCGGCTCTATTCAGTTTTTCCCCGTCATCCCAGGTGGTCGAAGTTTCGGGAGCGCTCCACAATGGCGTCCCTTATAATCGCATCGTGGTTTTGGGAGGTAAAACACTAGATATTATTATTAAGAGTAAAGAAGCGTACATTTAAGGGCTTGTTTTATTTGTCAATGAAAACTGACAGCCATGCTAAGGAAGCTATTGAAAGTAATTTTAAGCAAAGATTACTTATCATAACCCCTATTCTTTCCTTGGCATCATTTACTGTTAATTCTTATTAATATTGTTACTAGAAGTAATTATTCGTTTCCTCGCTACTTGACGTGATCGACATGTTCCCGTTTTTCTGAAACCGCAGGTAGCGGACAGGTGCTAACTACAGCAACTCCAAAGACCGCACCTGTCTGAGACATCTCTTGTTTTTTTTTGTTCTCACGTCTGAGAAGTCGGCAGGATGCTGATCAAGGTGAAGACACTGACCGGCAAGGAAATTGAAATCGACATCGAACCCACAGACCGCGTCGAGCGCATCAAGGAACGGGTGGAAGAGAAGGAAGGAATTCCTCCGGCTCAACAGCGGCTCATTTTCAGCGGCAAACAGATGAACGATGAAAAGACCGCGGCAGATTACAAGGTCACCGGCGGCTCAGTTCTACACCTGGTGCTGGCACTGCGAGGCGGCAGTGTCACGGGTAGATGGTGTCAACAGTAGAGCGAGACACTCCATGGCAGTCCACCTCGCGAGCGAACGGCTACAGCGCTACCCAACAACACCGCTGCACACAAAGTCACGAACCGCTACTAGCTGCAGGTTTATGGTCTCGGGTTGAACAAAAGCTGTAAGGCTCTAGGTTACAACCAATAGCCCAAACATTGAAACATAACCCGAGCTGTATACGCTTTGTGCCTTTGAATGTGCAGCGGTTCTTTTTTTCTTTTAACAAAAAAAACTTGTCCTCATTTGACCACCTGACATACGCACTCGGTGAGGTGAACCGTATTCGATACTGTAGCCGATGCCATTTTAGTTTGAACCGAATCACAAGCGGGCCTGACTTTTCTCTTGTGCCAATAAACTGGAGAAAAAGTAAGAAAAGATTGTTCGTCTTTTATCAGCAATGTGTGACAAATCTTGAATGTGCTAATAATATTGTTAGCTAAAGGATAGAGTTTGGGTATGTTGGTTGGTCAGTGCTAAGCAGAATACACAGTTCAGAAACGAATAGAAGATGAGACAACGGTGGGATGATCACTTTTCAGAACACTTTATTGTAGACCGTCCTCGTATATAAGCACTATTTCCGAGACTGCAGTAAAGAAAACCACAGGCAACAGGAATGCCAAACGTAAATTAGGTATGCCAAAATTTTGAATTACCTTCGTTGAAGTTATTATTGCTCGTCTTGGGGTCTTCTAAGGCTGTATTCATTTCAGCACTATATATTCTGCTCAGCATTTTTATCTACATTGCAGCAGTCTCGTAGCTTTCATTACTTGTGCACATTCTCACGGTTTAAGCATTCTGTATGCCTGGCACGTGGGCTTCGTTGGCTGGAGAGAAGCATACACGATTGAAGTCTTCAAGCTCCTGTTGGGCCATGTGCCTTACGAGAGCTGGTGCAAGGAAGCCACTTGCAATTGAAAAGTGCCCAAGTGACTCCAGTAATCGGTATGCACACACTTGATGCAATTTAAAAGGTGTTAACAAAATGATATTGTGTGATGCACTCTAGTGAAATTCGTTATTCACTATCCATAAATCTCGATAAGTGAGGCTAACTTTTGAACATGCATCCACACAATGTGGACGAGACTAGTATGACAGGTGTTACTGGGTTTATTAAGGTACGCAGCGACCAATACGGTAGCAGCAACAGCAGGAAAACGCATCCAGGGAGCGAACAGCCGAGAAAGCCAGGCGACGGCAATGCGCTTCTGCACGTGTCTATCTTCTTCCTCACACAGGGAACAGTTACATTCGATTGGTTCAAGTGACTGCTATTCAGCAACTGATTGTTGAGCTCGTGACCAGGGATGGTATTCTGCCACTGCCCACTAAATGGATGGCCCATACCGGCGTGCTCTGATTGGCTAAATGTTGGGAGAAAGCGAGCCGGCACCAATAGTGAATTCTGGCTTCGATCTTATTACAATCAGTGCACACCTAAATGGACAGCCCATTTAGTGAACACTTGCAAAATACAACCAATGGTGTCATGATGATTCATCCCTTTTCAACCTGTTTGATTATGGCTGCTGCAAGATGTAAGTCTCTGTCAATGATCTCCAACAGACTCTAACCTTATGCCAGCCAATTGCAGTCTTGTGCAGCGAATTTCTTAATTTTGTCATTACATGAACCATCTGTTATCCTTCGGCTGCGTAGTCTATTTCTTGATATCCCGCTCTACCGCTCCGACTGACTGTCGCTTAGGTTTCCTTCGCATTACGTGACTTGCCTAGACCCACTTTTTCTTTGTAATGTCAGTTATAATGTTGGCTATGCCTGTTTGTTCACTACATAGCTCAGCTCTCTACATGCCTTTTAGTGTTACACTTATTTATCACTTCCAATTTTCATTACAAGTTTCTTAGCCACTCAGGTTGCCAAGGGTTTCCATTCCGTGCGTTACAACTGCCAGTATACAATGGCTGTGTTAAGGAACTGCAGGGAAATGTGCCATCATAACTTGGGAGTGTCTGCTGTAAGTGTCCCAGCCCATATTTCTGTGAATTTTTCATTTCATGTGGGTGCCCCCGTGTCGGTGATTGGCCTGAGTATACTCACCCTTGGACAGACTGCAGAGGTTAGCTGCCAATAATCAGTCATGATTATTAGTAAAAAAAAAGAAGGAGACGAGAAGAAGAAACACGGGACCACGCTAGTCATGCTAGCGCTGTCGTGTGGGCTCTCTTTTTGTCCTCATCTCCTTTTTCGCAAATTATCAAGACCCATTAATCTCAATACCAACTAGCTCAACTGTCCACCTTAACTACCAGTCATCAACTCTTTCACCAGACTTTACTTGCTGTAATAAAAAGAATGCCAGTCTTGGTGTTCATGCCGTATGACTCCCTAGAACCTTTTTTCAATGGTTCTATGGTTAGTCCGTTAGCAGCAGTTACATGGTCCGATTGTGCATCTTCGATGCCTTTTTTTGGTCGAAGACTTGAAACGCTTCGCACAGCAGCATCCATAAAGTCGCATGTACCATGGCTTCACGACGCGGGCTTGCGGAGTGTTGACCAAGGTGTGCAGTGGTCATGCAAGTCTGTTCAGCAGTGCTAAAAGCACTCTTCTATCACTTTTGGCTCTAAGGGAGAGAAAGAGAAAGCGCTTTATTTGTACCCGTTGTAGAGTATGGGCAACGGGGAGGAGACACAGATCTTCCTTTCCCCCTCTACATCCCCCCCCCTAGGTGTCTGCCAGTACCAGTGGGTTTCTGGCGGCAGCCTGGACTTTACGGATGACTTGTCTTTGGCCCTGTTTTTTCTAGCTGCGGAGTGAGGTGAGTAATTGAATGAATAATTGTGGCTGAGCCCTTTTGTAATTGGTGGGAAGTTTCAAGCCATCCACTCATGCAGATGCCGTTGTGCGAGGCATGGTTGTTACTTCACTCTTCCATCATGCTATATTACACGACTTAACATGGACCCTTGCTCGGCACGACGCATGTATACGGTCTTTTTGCAAAGGAGCTTCGAACACCGACGTCGCACTGTGGTAGAACGCTCGACTGCCACACGGAAGGCCTGGGTTCAATCCTGCTTGATCCTGCATGTTTTTGTCTCATTGTGTGCGAGAGCTGTTGCGGACACTGGCAGCAGACAACTATGCCACCAAAATCAACTGTTGGGACCCCGATGACAGTTTTTGCTGTAGAACAACTTTGAATGTTTGTGAGCATTAATTGTGTAATGGAATGATCGCATATGCTTCGATTGGTTTCTCATTTGAGTGGTTTTTCGGACTGGACTTTTTCCGATTTCGACCGCCACAGTGTTCGTCACAGCGATTCGTTATCATTAGGGTTAAAGTCGTCCTTGTTTGCTGCACTTCCTGTGGCATCGTGTACTTTATTTTTTCTTGTGCTTTCACAAGTATTGTTTTCTACTCACCGAAATGCATTTTGCGCTTTACTGTATTGCAAAAAGCAGATACAGAGTAAACAAGACACCACAAGCATGCACTCGTAACGAAAATTTATTGCAAAAATTGGAACGGGAACACCAATGCAAACACCAATGCAAGTTTTGGGACGTTAAACCCCACAAATCAATCAACACCAATGCAAGGAACTGCACTGTCACCAAAACAGAACATTTGTGGATTCATACAAATGTATAGGCAGAGAGAACAGATTTATTAAGAAAGCTGAGTTTGGGTCCACCCTCCAAAAAAAGGCAAGGTCTACCATAAAATGCTGAGCAAGTGCCCCCTCCCTGTTTCGGGAGATCTGCAATAAGTGCCAATGATCGGTTCGGGACCACCCAAAACTGGTTGGCTTGTCATTGCATTTTACGGTAGTCATCACCTGGGCCTTTGTCCAAGCAGTGCCTTGATGATTTATCAAAAGGATTGGTGAACCATAAGTCAGTACAGGCATCAATACATGATATGCAATGATGGATCGCTAGGGTTGACCCACAGTTTCGTGTTATTCATGTTGTAAGTATAGCGTTCCGCACATGCCCCGCAGCGGTGTTCTAGTGGCTAAGGTACTCGGCTGCTGACCCGCAGGTCGCGGGATCGAATCCCGGCTGCGACAGCTGCATTTCCGATGGAGGCGGAAATGTTCTAGACCCGTGTGCTCAGATTTGGGTGCACGTTAAAGAACCCCACGTGGTCGAAATTTCCGGAGCCCTCCACTACGGCGTCTCTCATAATCATATGGTGGTTTTGAGACGTTAAACCCCACATATAAATCAATCGTTCCGCGCACACTTAACCAACTCGCTACCAAACAGTGACAAAGATGAAGATCAAACAACTACAAAAAGCCAGTCAGAGAGGAGAAGGACGAAGAGAATATTGTTATCATGTCGCCTTAACAAACTGCCAGAGGTGCACGGCTTTCGTAGGCTTTCACAATAAAGTATGAAAATTGCACGAAATGCATTTAAAAGGAGGTCCCATAGCTCAAAACTGCGTGATGACTGCGTAAATGATAACAATAATGGCAACATGTAAATTTAACTAACAGAATCGGGCGAAAAACGAGAGCAGTGTATAATCAGCTAGGGGGGTAGGTGTAAATTATAGCAGTAAAAGCTACGAAGACTTCGGTATTTTCCTCATCCTTATTTTCTCCTAACCCTTTTCTCCCAAACACGAATTCGCCCAAATGTCTGTTTTGCTAGTGATAGCATTTTTTGAAACAAAAAAAAATGTGGGGGGAGCAGATAGACAGGTACATGAGTTATCATGAAAGAAAAAAAAATTTAACAATCATGAAGGTCAGTCTGAGGAAGTTAAAGAACATTATTAGGTCTTGTATTGAGCCTACTAGCTTTTAGCAATGTTCAAGTTCAAGTTCCTGCAGTACAGTTTACCGGCATTGACCAATGCAAGGAAAACAAGCCTTCGAACGCTACAGAGTGTTCAGTCCCAGGCACTCCGGATTTGCCTCGGCTTGCCTCGTAGTGCGTCAACAATGGCTACTATAGCTATCGCCGGTGACCACCTCATCACGACACATATCGACGTTGAGGCACTCGGGACTCATATAAGGCATATTGCTCGGACACCCTACCACCACCTAGCCTCTTTACCAGCTGACAGACCACGTTCGTCATTTTGCCAAACGGTCACCATATACCGCGATTCTTTGCCAACATGCTTCACACCCGCCGCCAGGCCTTCGACTCTTCCCTGGTGCCTGACTCAGGCTAATATCAGGCTAACTATACCTGGCATCAAGAGATAAGCAGATATGTCGTCACCCGCTCTCAGACAGCTTGCTCTGCTCTTGTTATACAAGACGTACCAAGGCTGTATACACGTATACACCGACAGCTTCTGTTTTACAGAAGAGTTCAACGGCATCATTTGTTATACCGATATAAGACACGACTAGAAAATTCAAGACCTCCCAC